ATTATGGGCTCAGCCTGCCTGCAGGACGAAGCAAGGCTTCTCTCCTCTATCTACTCTTTCTTTGTTCTCCCTGGTCTCTGATCCGATGGCAGGGAGCAAGTGGTTCTTGTACCGGTTGAGTTGATTGAAGACTAACGGATATCTAGACCAGTCCAGAGATCCACGTCCAATGTCTCCTCCTGTAAACCCGGAACACCCGTTCACATCGCCCCCCCCCCCCGCGGAGAGATACTTCCGGGGGGCTGATCAGCCCACCTAGGTGTGACAGTCCTGCTCGGGCGTGCCTGATGGCTGTGTCAATCACATGGCTGTCAACATTTTGACTTACCCAGCGGGCAGGCAAGCCAGCCGGCATGTTGGGCATTGGGCCTGGCAGGGAGAGCGCTCGGATATATGGTACTATGGACATTACCCTTGCAGCACCGCGACGCACGATGAGCTTTTTGTCAGCATTGCTGCGGATCGTCGTGGCTTTCTGCCTAGCTCCTACGCCCCTCCCTACCAGGCACGGGATCTCCGCACTATATCGGAGTCCCCGTTGTTGTTGGTCGCAATCCCGATCGCATATCTGCATGTCTACCATGCAGTCGTTGGGCTATTAGCACAGTAGCACCTAAGCTAGCTGCGTGGGCTAACGAGTTATACTGACTATCGATCGATATAATCGAAGCAAAACCGGTTTTAGTCCTTCAACTACCGGAACATATTCCCACCACTGTGCTACGGCTTCATGTCATGTGCGCAGTGCAATTCTTCGTGTGGGTTGAAAGTGGAGCAGATACACGCATGCACGGATTCTCAACACGGCTGAGAGCTCTACATTCTAAGCAATGCGTGACGGCTCAAAATGCATATGTTACGTCACTAGGAGCAAGGCCTCGGAAATCTATCGTGGGAGGAACAAGTCAGGCCGGGTTGAATATCTGCAACACGCATACAAGGATCAAAAACGGAGGCCCTCTAATCGGGATTCGGTGGCCATTGTGCCCCTAGGGACAGTCAATGAACAAACGGGATTCATGATTCGGGTATCTCGGATTAGCCCGTTCCCCTTTCAGCGTCGTGTCCATGTCTCAGACATCTTGACCGCATGTTGTAGGGCTCCGCTTATGTTGAGCACAACAGAGTGGCGAGGCCATGGTTGCGCTCTTCCGAGCTGCCCTCTCCGTTTGCATGGTGTGGTTCGTCGTGCGCAACCCGTACTTTTGGAAGCATTGCGTTCGTTCTTCATGGCTGACCGAAAGGCTGCCAGAAGCCGAGCCCAGGGCAGTCGTAGGATGAAGTGTCCTTCTCGGCGCTAGCCTCTGACCTCTGAAGAGCCTGAACATTGAACGCCCCTTGTTCTCTTCTCGCGGATATGGTCAGCATGTTCTATCTAGCTTGGAAGGAGACCTGCCTGAATTCCACGTCAAGCTCTAGGCACGGAGCCGACTGTACGGGATCTCGGAAGACAAACGAGCCATAAGATATGAGCTTTGGGGTCTATGTTTGCGCGTGTTGTACGAAAGGTAAGCTCTAAGACTTGCGGAAAAAGTGCGATGGTATTCTTGTCGTGACTCTCTGCCGACTTGAGATACCGCTCGATATCCAATCAGTATGGTGTCTATCAACGTAGACCTTATTTCAGGGGGCTTTTTTCGTATCGATAGACTCCTCGAACGATTGAGTTTCATATACGCCAGTCAGACGCTTCAGCCAAGATTATAGCAGTTCTGAGGCTGCAATATTGGCCTCGCAAAGAACTTCGCTTAAGGAGTAACTCTCTATTCATGGTAACAGCCTCTAGATTACATTTCCGGTCGCAAGTCTTCTTCTCGGTCTTTACAAGAGGGATAAGGAAATTTGGGCTGCAGCCATTCAACTCAATAGCCCACTGAGTGTATGCGCTGATAACCGCTCATGCTAACATATATACTTTTTCTATACTGACAGCGGGCATTGCGTCAGTGAGTGATCATCCCTGCTTTGCGTTGGTTCTTTAATCTAAATCGCAAACTCTCGGCTCCTTGCTACCAATAGTGGACATTGTAATGACGGGCATTCAATGCTTTGTTGGAAGAGACAGTACAGGCTGGTCCAGTGTGCTTTTCACTGTCAGACATTAATTTTTGAGGTAATATGGCTCCAAGCTTTGGTGGGCCAAAGTCTCTCTTCTTTAGTGTTTAGGCTGGGTCGGAGGATGCATGTATGTGTTCGCTGCGGACTGTCAACTTTCACCCACTTTTTGCTAAGTTGGCCAGCTTGTGGAGTCTTGATCAGTTACTTGGTTCCCCAAGCTGTGGACTGAGGTTCTTTGGGAGGACTCAATGCAAATAGGAAAGACAAAGTTCCCCATAGTTCTGTCCAATCTCAGCTTTGGTATATATTGTTGCGGGGTGATGATTGAGTTCTTCAACGTGCTGTATGTAGGAAAATTACTTTCTATAAGAGTCACTGACTCGCCTGTTACTGTGTCTGACACCAACAGCCTGATTTTCAGATGAGGATAAATAAGATCCTGGTCATCCGTTGCCAGAATGCCTTCTATTATATATATAATCACATGACCGCGGACTAACTTTTCTCCGATGCCATTTTCTCCCATCACGGGTCTCCATCAGCATGTATACAACCTCCTCCATCCCCTCTACTAGCTCATTTCGAGCCTCGACCCCATTTGTACCACTCGGCCATCCCAAGTCGGTGGGCTGCCGCTTCGTGGATGGCAATTGGTCCTCAGATCACACTTATCGCCGTCTAAGCCGAGACCTCACGTGCGTGGGAATCTACCGGGAATCGGATAATCTGGCCGCTTGTGAAGGTCAATATACAATTACATCACCTTCTTTGACACAGATTGGAACACGATCAAAACATTTGCAATTCTGAGCACTTCTATCCACAGGCTTTACATGGTGTACTGCATTCCGTCTTCACCGCACGGTTATATGACCAGATCTCCTTGGAATCCGACATCTGATATGACTGCTCTCGTTTCGTGCTAGCATTTCTGTCTTAACGCACTTATCGCATACATTCACCATTCGTGCATTCTGCGCCAGGTCCTATCATACCGTAACCGCATCATGGCAATCATCATGGCTTTGCAGGGGTCTATACGGGCCTCTAGGCAACTCCCCCGCTTGCCTTGCGTGCTCCCATTCCCGTCTCTCGGACATGGCTCCGTGCCCAGGAAAGGATCGCAGACGCTGCAAGTAGCTGGAGCGCGTAGCTTCTCGGCCCTCGCGCCAGGCTGTCGCTCGCCGTTGACTCAGGCAAGGTGCGATTTTGTTTCCTACTTCAGCCGAAAGTCGAGTTCTAAACCCATGTCTAGCTTACGAATGAAGAGAAGTAGTAGTCTCTGTACAAAGGACTCGTCGCAATGGGCACGGATCACTGTCCAGCAGAGACGGTGGTCGGCGCAGAAGTCGACCGACCCGAAAGAGACCCAAAAGTAGGTTTCTCTCCTGGCTTGAATCATCTCCCACTTGGGGGGGACGATACCGATGACCTGTGCCTCGTCGAATCCTGACATAAACACAGCACTGAGCCCAAGTCCAAAACTGCGGCTATTCTATCTAAGATCCATAGACCCACCACCCACGAGAACATCTACACTGTTCCCAACATCCTCACTCTCACCCGGTTAGTTGCGGCTCCTTTGGTAGGATACTTCCTCGTGCAGGGCCACCACACGGCTGCATTGGGTCTGTTCGCATACGCCGGCATCACAGATCTTGTGGATGGCTGGATTGCACGCCGATGGAACCTGCAGACGGTCATCGGGACGATCATCGATCCCATGGCTGACAAGCTACTGATGACGATCGGTGTCGCTTGTTTGGCTGTCAATGGGTCGATTCCTGGTAAGTCATCATTTGCAGTTGACGATTCACTATAATCAGCTGTGAGGCAGGAAAGCTGACATGTTTCTGACAGTCTGGCTCGCCGTCATTATCCTTGGCCGTGACGTTGGCCTGGCGCTCTCGGCCATTTACTACCGATGGATCTCTCTTCCTCCGCCCAAGACCATGGCCCGGTACTGGGACTTTTCTCTCCCGTCTGCCGAGGTCAAACCCACGACAGTCTCCAAGGTCAACACGGCGTTGCAGCTTCTTCTCGTGGGTAGCGCAATCGGGATGCCCGTGCTTCCAGAGACGGTGATTGATGCGTGGCATTTGAAGGAAGCCATGACCGCATTTCAGTGAGTGCCACTCTTCACGTTATGTTTTTGTTGTTGGTTGTGTTTTGTTTGTGTGGTGCGGCATAACAACGGTACTTGGAGAGTGTCCAGCACATACGACCACAGGGTGTGGAAAATAGGGCTTCCCGTCCGCTCAGCCGTACTCAAGCCACACGCCGGGAGGTTAGTAGTTGGGTGGGTGACCACCAGCGAATCCCTTCTGTTGTATGTTTTTCGGGTTAACTTTTTTTTTCTTTCTTTTTCTTTCTAAATTCTTGGTCGCTATTCTCACTGGAAAGGTACATGCTGACAAAGACAGATACCTCGTTGCCGGAACCACGATCTGGTCCGGTCTCAGCTACGTGTTTTCCAAGGATGCCGTCAAGATCTTGACGAAAGAAGAGGTCCAGAAGCGCATTGCTCGAGCTGCAGGGAAGAAGTAATTGGGGGAATATATAGTGGTGAGTTGATGTATGTACATAGGTAGCATACTTTGATCGGGGCTTGCATCTGAGCATACCATGTTTAAATATGAAGGCATATCAGACACCATGTGGATTGACTATAAATTCCCATTAGAAATATGCTATCCTTTTATATTACCGCGTAAGTATATGAGTAGAAACCAGCTGATGTGCTCTCCTGATCTAATGGCGACATCTGGAAGCCGACGCAAGATTTTCCCACGGACCAATAGTGGGGCGGGGATTCAGCAGCAGCAGCAGCAGCAGCAGCAGCAGCAGCCAGCACCGGCGCATTTCCATCTGAACTCTGACCTTCCCCGCCGCCCGGCCGGCAACTTTACCTTGTCTACCAACTTGATCAACTTCACCTCCCACCCTCTTCATCTTTCATTCAACGTCACCGTCAACTTCAGCTTCTTCACAGGCCTTCCCCCCTTTACTCCAAACACCAAAATGAAAGCCTACTGGTACGACAACAAGCCGGTAAGCAGTGCCATCACCTCCCGTCCTCAAACCACACAGCCCCCCCTCCCCCCCTCCCCCTCTACCCCTCTATCCCCCTCAACCCCCCCCAAAAACCAAAACTAACCCAAGAAAAAGGGCGACCAACGCCTCCCCCACGACAGCACCCGCCCGGTCACCGAATCCTACCTCGCCACCTTGGGGGTAATCTACCACCACCTGCCCTCCCTGGCCGACGTGGACGCCCTGGCCGCAGCCCGGGGCTACAAGAACCGGGACGAGATCACGGTGTCGCCGACGACGATGGGCGACGCGTACGAGACCAAAGTCAAGAGTTTCTTCCACGAGCACCTGCACGAGGACGAGGAGATCCGGTACATCCGCGATGGCCGGGGATACTTCGATGTCCGCGGGCAGGAGGACGAGTGGGTGCGCATCCAGCTCGAGAAGGATGATCTGATTATCTTGCCGGCCGGGATCTATCATCGGTTTACGGTGGATGAGGGTGATGTATGTGCTTTATTCTTTCCTGGGGGCGGGGCTGGTTGGGAGAGGATTGGATCGGCTAATGTTTGATGTTGACTACAGTATATCAAGGCGATGCGGTTGTTTCAGGAGGAACCGAAGTGGACGCCGTTGAATCGGAGTGAGGAATTGGATGAGAATCCGCATCGGGTTGGGTATTTGGGGTCCCTTGGGAAGGCGGCTGTTGCTGCGGTTTGAGGAAGTTGATAGTGCTGTAGGGGTGGGTTCTGGGACGGGTGGATGGCATTTGGATAATGGGTGGGTGGAGAGCAGCAGCAGCAGCAGCAGCAGTAGCAGGAGGTATGGGATGGGGTGGGATGTATATAGAAATAGGCACATGAAATTATGACACCCAAGTTGATTCTTATTCTTTTCATTGTTATCTTAGTTATCACTCGCTAAATGCGTTTTCTTCCTAGAGGATGGACAGCGTCGTTATCCTGAGGTCGAGTCGATCGTCAACTACTAGATACACCTAACTATTGCCCCCCCAATGACCCTGGCATGTGCAGATCACTCAAAGCCCCCGAACTCTCCTCCCGCATCATGCTCGGCGGCCGCAGGTCCCCCGTCTCCACGTTGTAGCTGGAAGTCCGCGACACGCTGTCGAACTGCGGCCGCGACGCCAGCCCACCTCGGAACCGCAGTCCCTCCGTCTCATGCGCACCCAAGTGATCCGACATGGCGCCGCCGCCACCGCCGCCGGCGCCCCCTCCGCGGGACGCGCCGTTCGACGCCGTCTCGGCCTCCTCGCCCGTCCGGACCCCCGTTCGGCCCATGCGCGGCCACAGATCCGGCAGCCCCACCACCTGCACCCGGGGCTCGACCACGCGCTCCTCGAACCACGCATGCACCCGGGCCTCCACCAGCTGCGCGACCTTGGGGACATCCTGGAGACGACTCCGGGAGCCGATCAGCGACCGGACCGACAGATCGAGACGGTAGTCCGGGAGGAAGGAGAAGGCCACGTTGCTTTTCGGGGTGCCCGTCTTCGGAAGGGACGAGGCATCGGCTCCCTCCTCCTCAATGGCGACGGAAGGCGGTGGAGCACCTTCCCTGGAAGGGTTCTTGGTCCCATCGGCCGTGGGCGGCGACGGGGACGGGGTGGGAGTATGGAGAGGTTCCGTGGAGGCGGGGACCAGCGAGATGCACAGAGTGCCCGAGAAGCGAACCACCGACACCGAAAGTGCCACCGGCAGGATGGCGGAGCAGGGCTTGGGGTAGTTGAGCAACAGCGACGTCTCGACCGCGATGGAGAGGTTGTCGTCGCTCAGGTCGACGTCCATCAGCGCCTGCAGGCGGCCGCCGTCGGAGTTCGGATCATCGACCGCAATGATGCGGCAGTTGCTGAAGATCGGGAACTCCTCCCCCAGGGAGATGTCCGTCACCGCGATCTTGTCGATGAACGAGGGCTTCTTCTCCGGGTTGTTCAGGGCGGCGTTGAGCGAGCTCAGGATCGACGACGTCGGCGAGTCCTTCAGCAGGTATGCCGTCTGTCGGTACTGCGCGATCGTCTGCGCGATCAGCACGTTGAACCAGTCTAGGGACTCAGGCTGGTGAGAGGAGTGGTGGATCCGGTGCCGGCCATGCTTGGAGGTGAGGTTCGGGGGGATGGAACTGTAGTAGGTTTTGCGGAGGATCGACTGCGTGTTGGTCGACGAGGAAGGGACCGGGCGGAGGACGTTCGAATTCGACGGTTTCTCCCGGAGCGATCGCGAGTTGGTCGAGTTGGCCTCATTCGGCCCAAGGTTGTAGATCGAATTCGACCGCCGGTGGGTGGAGGTTCGGTGCGAGAGCCCGCGCGAGGGTGGTGGTGGTGCTTCGCCGAAAATGAAGAACTTGATGAAGGCGCCGATCAGTAAGACCACGGATAACTGCCCGAGCAAGAATCCCTGTGTGAAAGATAGGCTAAAATACCCTGTTAGCCTTTAGTCCTCCCTTCCTTGAGCCACTACGACCACCGGCGGGCAGGCCATAGTAACATGAGAGTAGTGACGTACGAGGATTGCGCCGGGACGGGCTCGGCTGGTTTCACATCGAAGGTCAGTCAGACAACTCAAGGACAATCCAGGAAGACAGGTCAAAAACACACACCCTGTTGGTAACACATCATGAGCACACTGTCGCCTTTGAGATGCTACCCGTCAGCCATTGCCACTGCTGCTGGGAACTTGAAGCTGAGCTAAGTAGGAAATGAATTGATGGCGGCGAACGGCAAGTGGGCGGCGCCGTCGAGATTCCGCCTCCGATGCGCGCTAAGCCGATTAGATTCTTGGTCTTGTCTTTCTTGTCTTGCCTTCCATTTATCAGATCGGAGTCACCCTCCGTTTGTAGTTTTTTTTATCATTATTTCTGTTCCAGGGAAGTGTCCATCTGCTGAAAGGACACGTTGTGCATTGACTAGGTTGCACAATAAATTCAGCCACAAGCTGGGAATCAGCTTTAGATAACTCTTCCATTCACTCTCTATTGCTGACACGGTTGCTCTCATATGATGCCTCTAACTTAAAATCCACCACAGATTCCAAGAATTCTCATCTCGCAATCTTTAACTGACTCTCGAGCTCGAGACCAACCAACAAACACATCCATCATGCACCACTCTCGCCTATTACAGTTTCTCTTCCTTCTCCTCTCACAGCCGCTCCTATCATATGGCCGATCACAGCAACCACCAGGCAGAGATGCCATCCTCCTCTCCCGCGTCCACTCACTCACTCTGCGCGCAAATCGCCTAACCACCTCTCGGCGAGTCTCGCCCATCCCTCAGTTGAAATGCACCGGTCCCTCCAAGCACATCTGCAACCTATACCCCATCGATACGATGCGATGCACAAACGAAGGCTACGACTACGACGAAGAGGACATTCAGTGGACCTGCACTGCCTCGCTCCCACCGGAGTTCAAGCTTGGATCAACCGACGTAGTGTGCGAGGGGTATAGGGACGCTGATGATAAATGGGTCTTGAAGGGAAGCTGCGGTGTTGAATATCGCTTGTTACTGACGAAGGTGGGAGAAGAGCGGTTCGGCTCAGGAAGGCAGGATAGCGATTTCTGGCCGGCGGACGTCGACCTATCTGGCTGGAGGGGCGTGTTTTCCACACTGGGAAATCTGATTTTCTTCGGATTCATGGTGGCGTGTTTCTTCCTGATAATGCTACCCATGCTGAGAGATTGTTTTGGCCTACGCGGAGGTCGACGGGCTGGAGGGCTCGGTCGCGGCTGGGGTGGATGGGGTGGTGGTGGCGGCGACGGCGGCCCCTACCCTCGTGGCCCTCCCCCTCCCTATACCAGTTCCGGTTGTTCGGATCCTGCTCCTGCCTCTGAACCATGGAGACCCGGGTTTTGGACAGGTGCTTTGGGCGGCGCTGCGGCTGGCTATGGCCTGGGAAGCAGAAACAGTCGTCGCACCCCAACTTTCAGGCAAAGGCGTACTCCGTCTTTCACGAGATGGGACGACCCCGGCGAAGGTAGCTCAGGGTCGCGCTCGCGCTCGCCGGAGTTTTCAAGTACATCCACAAGTACTGGGTTTGGCTCGACTAGACGCCGTTGAAGGGTGGGGGATTGGCGTGGAGAAAGTGGGTGGGCTGTGAGTCTGATTCGAATGACTTGGTGCTAATTCCTGGAGGAAACGAGTCTCTTGATTGAAGGAGCCACATGGCGGTTGTATTGATGCCTAGATTAGGGTAAGCATAGGTATCCAAGGGAAACCCCTCTGAGGATACCTCGAAAATCAGACACCTTCGGTACCTGCTTTCCCAGCTTCCTTCATCGTAACACGAAGCACATAACGCCTGTATGTTGCCGCCTCTATTGGAACTCCGCCAGAATAATGCACCGCGTGCATGGCATGGAACCTCAAGGCACGTCGTCGATCGTGCCCAGTACCTCCTCTGTTCCACCAGCCATAGCTTTCAATGCCTGCCTCCGGCTGGGTCGTTTGACCTTAGCAGGCATATCACCATTTTGACCAGCTCCTTCAGCCGCACCATCCGGATTGCGAAGCAGATCTTCTTGAGCCTCCTTCTCTTTGGCATGCTGTTCCTCCATCTGTTTCCGTTCTTCGTCTAGTTGTTGTTGTATGACTTTGGGATCATCATACACCGTGTTGGTCATTTGGGAATAGGTGTTGATGTCAATACTCTCCCGTGGACCGAGAAGAGTGTCCTTGATGCGCACGGGGTCGCGGCGCTCTTCGTTGTTAAACTTTAACTTGATCTGCCGTCTGCTTCTCCCGGGGAAAAGTTTGCTGATCATCATGAAATCGGTGCCGAAGATACGCAACCCTCGATAGAATAGATCCGTCATTTCCTCATCCCAGGACTCGGTTTTGGAACGTTTTCCGTAAGTAGACTGGTTGATCTTCCGAGTGAGTGTGTTTTCCACGACGTCCTCCAGCGCGCCAGCATTTCGTGCGGCATCCGCATGGCGGTCAACCTGCAAGGAAGCAGTATCGAGCACGATTTCTCCGTTAACAATGCGCATCACCGGTCCAGCTTGAGATTTGTTGTCAAGCATGCTGTTTCCTTCAACTGCTGGCGTGGCCTCGTTTCCATTGGCCTTGACTGGAACCTCAGTGTCTCCTTCTTGCTGTGCGCGCTGTTTGCGCTCTTGCTCAGCTTGATCAAGGATGCGAAGCTCAGTTTCTCTCTTAGAAAGTTTTCCGGTTCGGAGGTCCTTGCATAATTCCGACATTTTAATGAGACCAGGGGCGATCTCGACATTCTCGGAACCCTCAGGAGTCGGCTCGCGCTTCTTCCGCGTACGAGTCTTTCTTTCTTTCTTCTTGCCTGTCGCATTCTCACCATTCCCTTCCTTGACAGATTTCCTTCGCACCTTAACCACTTTGCGCGACTGCGTAGCAGGGGCGGGCGTCTGCGACTCTGTTTCTGTTTGACTTTCTGTCGGTTCTTGAGTGTCTATAGCGGTGGCTTGAGAAGCGGGAGGCGTGGGAAGAGGAAACTCGGTCACTGGGGGTTCTGTAGGAGCGGTAGGAGGTGGGATAGAGGCCTTGGCCACCGAATTGGTCCTGGGTCGTTTGGTAGGGCGAATTTCGATAGCGCCATCTGCGGGACGGCGCACGCGACTTTGGGGAGCAGCGGCCTCTTCAGCACGGCGCTCTACCACGTGCGTTGGGCTGACGTCCCTACTGCTATCGGCGCGCGTCTCTGAGGGTTCATTGATTGAAGACGGAGGCGCAAGTTCGGTAGGCGCGGTACTGGGCGGGGTGGGTTGGGGAGGTGGTGATACTACTTCTACGACCTTGGGAGGCGCTGCTGAGACAGAAGGCTTCCGTTTCGGTTGGGGTATTGCGATCGCGGTCGCAGACAACGAGGGCGTGATTTTCTTCTTTGGGGCCGCGTCTGTGGTTTCGATGGGGACCGTGTTAACGGCAGCTGTATGTTGGACAGAGGTGGTAGAAGGGCTTGGCTCAGGTGTGGCTGTCGCGGTCGCTGGCTGCGGTGTCTGGGAAGCAGACGGTTGCGACGCAACACTGGGCCGCCGCGGTGGAGGGGGAGCTGGGGCGCGTCGGGCGGGCGCCTTGGGAGCAAACTTCTTGCCCGACTTATCTAGCGAAGCAAGAAAGATTAGATACGACTCACAGTGGGAATCGGAATCCGAGGGAGGAGAAATAAAAGAAAACTTACTGATGACCGAACTGGAAAAAGACTTCATTCCGAACAACAATTCTGATCAAATTAGGTCATCGCCAACATGTATTCGCTGGTAAAGACAGTCGATTCAATGAGGGAGTATTCGCGTGAATGACCAAAGGGGTACAATGGAGAGTGAATGATGGATGAAAGAGTTGAGTCGAGGTGAGTCGAGTTGAGTCGAGTCTGGATGCCCAGATCTGCTGAACTCCCGGGGAAAGTGGACGGGGTCACGTGGGAGGCGCTAGGAAACGCAAACTCCCAGGCCGAAAATCCTCCTGGCTTTCCTTAAGTCTTGCTTATCTCAACCTTTACACATAAACCCCCAAACCCCATCCAGCACATACCCTCTTCCTCCCCCCCCCCCCTCTCTATTCACTCACTCTACTCACCACCACCCCACCCTCATCACCATATCTTCAACGGTCGGATTTTCTTGCGGTCTCGGCTTTCGGCTCGTTGCTGCTCAGTGGTGACGGCCTCTAATCTACTTATGCCTCTGTAGCCACTGATGCCGGCCGCCGAAGCATCCCCCGTCGCATCTTCCAATTCCGGTTTTGTCACGATGGAAGACCGGAAAAGAGCCGCTGCTTATGACCATAACGACTCGGCTCCACCATTGAAGAAGCAGGCGACTTCTGTCAATGGTGGTAGCAAGCCGCACCCCGATGCTGACATGCCCTGGAAGGATGATCTCGAGGTGAGTGCCACGAATAGCCCACGTGGGTGTCAACTTACCCCAAGGGTTACCCTAGAAACCCTTCCCAACGCCAAAGTCGACTGGACCGTGGACTCAACCAGGCGAGATACTGACGTCTCTTCGTCGCAGCGATTCCAAAAAGACGCAATATGGCGCCAGATGCAGGAGTACAAGCGGGAGAAGGTGTCCCTTGAGGCCAAGTTGAAGGAGTTATCCAAGTCGACCACCAACCATAATGATCACCTACGTATTATCGATGCCTGGTACAAACAAGTGAGTAGATCTCCGCATTTTGCTCGCTCTGTGTTCAAGGCTGATGCTCGTCAAGTTGATCGATGAGGTTCAAATACTCATGGGCGCCCCGGAAGAAGATGCCAAGGGTGGGTCCGCCGTGAGGCCACCAGTTGCTCTACACCCAGCCACTAACCCTTCTTCAGAATCCTCGTCCTTCCAAAGCAGTCTCTTGTTTGACGATAATGAGAAATTTGAGAAACATCTTAAATCTCGGTCGGAGGATATCCGGAAAATAATTTCGAGCGTCTTGTCTAAATCGGCGAAAGTTTCGCCGAAGGTCTCAGAGTTGCAGACCCAACTCGCAAAGAAATTAGCGGAAGAGAAGGCCACTATCAGCGATCTCGAGAAGGCGTTGGCGGAAAAGCAGCAGCTAGAGGAGAGCTTGGAGGAGGCATCTCTACGTTACATGGTCGCCGAGAAGAAACTTGATCGTGCACGGAGCGTCACTGTCGCCAAACTCGAAAAGCAGTATATACTGGGTGCCCAGCGGCCCGGGGGTGATAGTGCATCTGGACAGCGGGACGAACCGTCAGCCTCGAATGGCGCAACTCCAAGTGGTGAACGAAGCCCTGCGTTGGACGAAGCCCACAACAAACTCGCGGCCATCTCGGAAAAGCAAAAGGAACAGCTCCAGAAATTGGAGGCCGAGAACGCCAAATTGATAAGCCAAATCACTGACTTGAATATCAAGGTATGCTCCTTACGCATGTTCTCTCAGCCGGGAAGCACTAACAAAGGCGTAGCATACACGATTGACGGATGATGATTATGCAAGCACGGATTTGTTCAAACAGTTGAGATCTCAATACGACGATGTTGTTACTCGAATAAACCATTTAGAGGCGACTAATGTACAACTTCGCGAAGAAGCGTCGAAACTACGGTCGGAACGAACTGCATACCGCAACCAGGTCGACGAGGAGACGCAGAGTGTAATTGCCGAGAGGGAAGCGCAACTGATGCGGGCTGAGACGGATTTGGCACGGATACGGAATGCGCGCGACGAATTATTGGCGGATCAACAGATGCGAAAGGCTGCGCAGGAGCAGGAGAAAACCACGGCTATCAAAGTCCAGGAACTCGCAGATGCAGGCCAGGCTCGAATCGCAGCCCTGGAATCCGAGGTGGAGCGCTTGCGTGTCGAAGTTGAGAAGGAGAAGGCTGCCGCACCGAGTGTCGATGAAATCTCAATCGAAGAAATGCGTACTCGATTCCGCAATTTAGAGCGCCAATATGCGATGCTCAACACCGAATTATCCTCGATGCAAATCGCTTGCAAAAAGTATTCGTCTCTGGCTTCGCAGAAAGTCACCGATTTCGGCGCTCTGGAGGAGAAGGTCGCACGACTCATTGCGGAGAAGTCCAAAGCAGATCAAAAATACTTTGCTGCAATGAAAAGCAAGGAGGCTCGGGAGTTGGAGGTTCGCACTTTGCGTATGCAGAACTCCAAGAGTTCGGACATTGTCACGCAGCTGAAGGAATCGGAAGCTGCAACTCGAAATTTGCTTGCGAACATGGAAAAACAAGTGAGTGAGACCAAGGAAGCATTGAATAGCTTGATTGCCAAGAACCACGCCGCGCAACAACAAATCACGGAAAACAATATCACAATTGAGGGTCTGAACCGGCAAGTGGCGGATCTCAAGGCGTTGTCCGCATCCAAAGATTCGACACTTTCCAGTACGGCCAGTGCTTGTCGTAAAGCCGAAACGGAAGTCGAGGGCTTAAAGGCTACCCTGGCGGACACGAAGAAGAGTCTAGACAACTGGAAGAACAAGAGTCTTGGCAACCAGTCATCCGAATATGAGATGCTGCGGGTCAGTACCACGTCTTATAAATGCAGAAAGTTCCCATTGCTAACAATTCTGTAGACGCTTGCTCTCTGTACAGTTTGTCGCCGGAATTTTAAAAATACAGCGATCAAGACTTGCGGCCACGTCTTCTGCAAGGATTGTGTCGAAGAACGTCTTACCTCGCGGTCACGCAAGTGCCCTAACTGCAACAAGTCCTTCGGCAATAACGACTACATGCATATCACTCTGTGATCTGATGTCACCTCTCCGTTTATAAATCTCTTGTATCATAGTCTCCACCTTTCTCCTTTCCCCTTTCCCCTTCCCTATTGTCCTTCCGACTTGCCATTTTGCCGTTCTCTCTCCCCATTTTTCTCTTTATGTTCGTTTTATTACCCTTTTTCTTTCTTTCTTTCATTCTTCCCCTTTCTACCCCATATCTTTCTCTAATTATGGAAAAAGGCTCATGGTGCGGTGTTTTACTGTGTGTTTAGCAGGATAGGATTCTCAAGAAGGCCGGCGTTTGATTCAGATCTGTTCCTTTTTGATCAGATATCTCCTTTGCATATTGGCCGGGTTGTTGGTCTTCGGGTTACCGGTTTGATTCCATTTCCCTCTTTTCTGTCCGTTTTGTTCGATTCCCTGTTTGTGTTTCGAGGCGTCCTCCTTGGATACCCACGTGAAGTTGAGATGAGGTATGCAGCTCACATGTAGGATTAACTTTAGAAAAAATAACTATATTGATGAAAGAGACCAAACAAAGATGCTGAACGCAGCCCAGATTTATCCAATGCTCAAAAAAAATTCCGCCGTTACCCAGACTCTTGCGCTAATCTGCCATGAAATTACAAAACGACCAATGCCCCCACTCCAAAATAACAAATGACTCCAGAAAAACGCAAATATGCTTGGTGCGGTTGGTGGTGGGTGTGATCAGGAATTGAAGATCCGACTGTACAGCAGCTCGTGTCTGCCCACCCACAGATCCAACGGCGGTACGATCTGCCCGGCGTCTTCGACGGGGGTATCCCATTCCTTGTCGATGCGTTCGGTGACCATGTCCTGCAGACGCCGACTAGCCAGCACGCTTTGCGCCTGATACGGGCCCATGACTGAGGCCCGGACCGCCGCACTCAGCACCGCCTTGGCGTGGTTCACCATGAACACATACGCCGTCTGGCGGGCATCCATGCCCATGGCCGAGCACACGACCCCCCACAGCGGCGCCAGATGGCCCTTGGGCCCCAGCTCGTCCGCCGTATCGCCGCACAGCTTCAACGCGTCCGAGAAATCGGAGATGGCCTGCACCGCGGCCGCCGCGGCGGGGGCGAGGGTTGTTGTTGTTGTTGTCGTTGTCGTCGTCCCGCCGGCGGCGGCGGCGTAGGAGGCCCGGAACGCGCGCTCCCAGACCCCGATCAACGCCCGGCCCTGGGCGACACTCGCGCGCTGCGCCACGATGCAGGGCGTCGAGGCGTCCATGTCGTTGTCCAGCGTCTCCAGCTCCTCCGGGTTCCGGTATGCGGCGAGCACGTAGGGGATGGAGGTGCTGGCCATCGAGGCGATCGAGAGCTTCAGGAAGCGATGGAACGAGGCCACGGGGGTGACGGTGCGGGGGAGCGGTTTGTTGTGGGCTAGGTAGGATTCCAGACCGCTGGAGTAGGCGAAGGAGCCCAGCGGGAGGGCGGAGTCGGAGAGGAGGAGAAGCGCGTGCGAAATCGGGATTGAAGGTGGTGGTGGTGGTGCTGCTGCTGTATTGTCTGTGTGGTTTGGTGAATCAGGAGGTGTTTACGGTTTATAGATGGGGTATGTATGTATGTATGTACATACCCTTGGTGGGAGTCGTGTCATAGTCGTAGTCGCCATCATCGTGGTGGTGGTTGTTGTACGGCGGTAGCGGTGTGGAAGGGGAGGACGATGCCAATGCTAGACGTTTCCGCGCATGTTGTAGACGGGATTCGAGATCGATGATCTCTTGCTCTAGGTCTCGAGTGGTGATTTTGACGGCCATTTGGGGGTGTTCGGCAAGCTATCCAAGGTAGGGGGCGAGGTTTCCTGGGGAGGGAAAGTAACAATTGACAATTCATGATGCCTGGCAAGGGGGGAATGGCGCTTTGTTATACCTCTTTCCAAGGCAAATTCCCCTTCCCCGCCAGCCGCGCCATCTTTTTTTCGCTCAGTTTCCCCTTATCGGTTGAAGTGCCGATAACGGGTCCCATCGGACTCGGAGCTGACCGGGAGGAAAGTCGAGATAAATCAAGTAAACAAGATACGTAAGAAGCCAAGTTTCTCAACGGTGAGTCCCGGCAGAAAAAGCATCCCGGTCGCGGGCGGGAATTACAGCCCATGCGATTTCCACCAATGCATTCATCTATTCCGGATTTACCGGTTTCTGGATAGATTATCGCTCTCCATCTGATCGAATCATGCACACAGAATAAGCCTGGGGGATTGAACGGGCTACCTTTTATATACACCTTACAGACGTACACAAACAATGTCGGGCAAGCGTCTCTTAGACGTCATTCAATTGTGCAATGTCGCTGGGACAGTGGCGGCGAGGCATCTCGCCATCCGCCAACGCCAGATAGATCTATACACCCGCACTTCCTCCCTCACCAAGGGCATCAAGAGCCAGGTTGATGGCCTGTGTCTCTCGGCGCAAGCTGCAGCTGCACTAGCCAGACGATTCAACGAACCCGATCCCGAACCCTACCGTCCGTCCGAGTCAGCACCCACGACCGCATCGAGCTACGCGGAGCCGACCCCGACCACCACCACCAGCAGTGCGACATCCGATCTCTCCCCCGCTCAGGCGCGGCAAGCACAAAGACAGGCGGAAGCTCAGATTCCTTCGAGGGTGGCGGACCGCAATGGGAGCGAACAGGCGAGTCCTTTGGATGTCAGTCAACAACAGGATGTGTTCTACGAACCTCCCAAGCACTCTACGGCGGGTGATTCGGGGCTTCCCCGGATGAAGTTGCCCAAGAAAGCGAATGACACACAAATCGGTTCCGATAGCGATATCAATGCGGATGTGTTCCAATCTCCAGTGAAGACTGCCTCGGTAGATCAGGCTGCAACCACAAATACGACCGAACCGACCGAAATCCCGGAAGAGATGATGAAGGATATCTTTCACAGTCCCAGAGTCGCAAGGATGATGTCTCGGAAGCCGGCGGCGGATATGCGGTACAAGCAGGTGGGCGCGGTGCCTCGGGCAGAGCATGCGAATCAAATCGAACAGGAGAAAGAAGCAGCCCGTGCTGTGGGGGAGATGGTCGCGGAAGCGGCAGCGGCGGTATGTTGAGCAGGGTGGTTTGGTCTTGCAATGGATGAAAAGCTGACATACCCACGCAGACAGAGCCAGAAACGGCTGCCGCCTTGAAGAACCAGAACACATACAAGATGGTTGAGTCCCGTGTCCCATCATCCCGCATCGGGAGACTATGGCAGTACGGCGGACTGGCCACTTCAATGGCGTGGGGTGCCATGGGCGAGGGTCTTCGCAGGGTCACAGGCAGTCAAGCCGAATCATCCGGGTCGCTCATGTTCAGTGCTGCGAACACGGAGCGGCTTGTAGCTAAATTGTCCAAGATGCGCGGAGCTGCCCTGAAGTTAGGACAGATGATGAGTATTCAAGGTATGCGCACCCTCCGGGCTTCGATCCTTCCAGTCTAATGAAGTTCGCAGACACAAAGATGCTTCCTGAAGCTATCCATCAAGTCCTCCAACGAGTCCAAGACCGAGCAGACTACATGCCTGCCTCGCAACGCGACAAGGTGCTGACCGACAACCTTGGCCCGGACTGGCGCGATCTATTCTCTTCTTTCGACGATATCCCCATGGCCGCTGCCTCCATCGGACAAGTGCACAGTGCCGTTCTGAAACGTACCGGCCAACCCGTGGCTGTCAAGATCCAATACCCCGGGGTAGCCGACTCCATCGACTCCGACCTCAACAACCTCTCTATCCTCCTCACGGCATCCCGCCTCCTCCCCCGAGGCCTCTACCTCGACAAGACCATCGAGAACGCTCGCACCGAACTCGCCTGGGAATGCGACTACATCCGCGAAGCCGAATCGGCGAACCGCTTCCGCGAACTCCTCCGCGACGACCCCGTCTTCCTCGTTCCCGAGATCATTCCCGAAGCGTCCGGCAAGCAGGTGCTCACCATGGAGCGCCTGGAGGGCATCGCTGTGACCAAGATCCAGGACTTCACGCAGGCCCAGCGCGACTGGATCGGCACGCAGATCATGCGCCTCTGCCTGCGCGAGATCACCGAGTTCCGGTACATGCAAACGGACCCCAACTGGACCAACTTCCTCTACAACGCGCGCACCGACCGCCTCGAGCTGCTGGACTTTGGCGCCTCGCGCGCCTACCCGACCGAGTTCATCACCAAGTACGTCCGCACCCTCGTCGCCGCCTCCAGCAACGACCGCGACGCCTGCCGCCGCTTCTCTCTCGAGCTGGGCTACCTGACCGGCCACGAGAGCCAGGCGATGGTCGATGCCCACGTCACCTCCGTCATCACCATCGCCGAGCCCTTCATGGAGACCTCGCCCGACGTCTACGATTTCCGGGACCAGACCATCACCGACCGCGTGCGCGCGCTGATCCCTGTCATGATCCGCGAGAGGCTCACGCCGCCCCCTGAGGAGACGTATAGTCTGCATCGCAAGTTGAGCGGGGCGTTCCTGCTCTGCGCTCGGTTGGGGAGTCGCGTCCCTTGCAAGGAATTGTTCCGGGAGGCGATTCGGAGGGCGGAGGCGAAGGGGTTGAATTGATCGAGAATATGTAGCGAGTGGTGGGGGTTCTTAAAAACATTTCGCGGGGATTTGCCTCGTTTCTGGCCTAGCAAGGATTAGAAGATCTTTTCAACTCTTGTATATTAGGATAGATGTTGTGTATGAATATGGACATGACTTGGACACGTTCCACGATTAAATCTAGCAAGTAAACAGGTGCATAATCCGCGGATGATAAAACACGACGACAACGCCAAGAACCGCCCCCCATCAAGGGGCATTCAAGCTTTCCAAACCATAGCCAACCCGAAGCCCCAAGAATATCTCCAGTTCAACAGGTTATTATTAAATTATATGGGCGCAAAACAGCCGCACCTCAAACCTCCAAAACTACCAACCCCACCATCGTCCCCCATACATCGCCTGGTAGTACTTCTTCACCCTCTTACAGATTCCCTTCTTCCCTTCCCAGGAGCGAAACTTCCCCTCGAGCTCGCACGCCGTCCACCGGATCTCCTCCCAGAACTCCTTCTCGACGTCGCGGCCGAACGCCCGGATGATCTCCGGCGGCCCGGTCCAGGCGCGGGTGTAGCGGCCATCGTCGCCGATGGCGGGGTTGACCTCGTGCGCGTCGAAGACGGTGGCGGGATTGAATTTCGGGTAGTTGGCGTGGATGAAGAAAGCCCGGGGGGTGCTACGGGCCGTGCTGGAATTGTTGGTGGACAGGAAGAAGCCGTGGGCTTGTGGCTGGGGCTTCCGTGTGTCATCCTCGCGGTGGTGGTGCCGATCAAAGTCCTCGGTGGGATCGAACTGCACCATGGCGGAGCCGGCGAAGCCGCCGCCGCGCTGGGTGGTGTGGCCGATGGCGCAGAGGGGCTCGGCGACCTGGTAGTGCGGCTCCGCGAGGGCCAGGGCCGCGGCGACGAAGGTCTCCTTGTCGCCTTCGCCGGCGGCGCCCTGCGACAGCAGCGGGTAGTAGAACTCCGGGCCGTGGATGTTGTAGTAGGTGCTGAGGAGGAGGGTGCGCAGGTGCGTTCTTTTCGAGAGGAGCACCTCGCCGGATTCGCTGGATGGGCGCGTCGGCGGTCTCGGGGTCGGTTGCCCTGTGATCGCGTAGTAGGAGGGGGAGATCGTCGTGGCCCAGAAGTCGGGCCAGGTGACCAGGCCGTGCGTGAGGAAGGGGTCACGCGTGAAGAGGGTTTCCGGGGGGAAGAGCGCGTAGGCGTCCGCGTCGAGGAAGAGGATCTCTTCGAAGGAGGAGAAGAGCATCGCGAAGAGCTTGAATTGGTACTTCTGGATGTGGATGGAGTGCGGGATCGCGTTGAGGATGGTCGAGAGGACGATGCACTGCGCGTTCAGCGAGGGCAGGATCACGTCGCAGATGTACGTCTCGTACTCGTCTTCGCTGGCAAGGAAGACTTCGACTGGGAGCCGGGAGCCGGTGCGCCGGAGCATGCGGAGCGATAGCACGAGCACGGGGAGGTAGGATCCTCCTGCGGTGGACACGAGACCGCGCGTGTTGCGCGTGTAGTTCAGTTGAGGCGGCGTAGTCTGGATTGCGTCCAGGAAGCCCCGATGCGTCTGTTGCAGGTCCTCAATGTCCATGGGGAGAAGATCCAGGAACTCGGTTTGATCGTGAGGGTCTGCCTGCTCGAACCGAATTGATGGCGCCATTCCTAGCCTCAGAGGGGGTAGGCATTTTGGTTCGTAAGTGGTCAGCAAGGGTTGGAATTGACGCCAGAATTCGATGTTGCCTTCAGTAGCATGACGCCAGGTGAGTTGAGCTTGTCGGAGTGCAGCTGGATCATCGATGGAGGTGGCTTCGGGTGCATCACTCTGATTGTGCCAGCGCGAGAAAGACTGGCTGCATATCAACACGAGGAATAGGCCCGCCAGAATTATGCGTATGCGCAACGCCGCGCGACTGGGAAACATTGCTCTCTAGAATTCATGAATCAGGTGGATCTCAGGGCAGTGAGACTGGCTTTGGTCAAGCACCCATTGAATCGAGTCTCTACTGCAACTTTGTCACACCCTAGGGGCGGAAAATTTGTACAGTCGCAAGATTCACGGCAAAGAAAATGCAAATTGATATATTCTCTGCGTCTGTTGGGCTTGTATGAAGACTCAATGCTTTACAGGCGTTAAATGGAGACGCGAGAGACAGACTTGGATGCAGACCACTGCAGAAGGCACACAATGTTGCTTAGAGGATGAGCAAGTAGGAGGATACGTAGTGAAAATAGGTCGTCATCATGAGCAGAAATAAAGAACAGGAGTTTTGAATTGATTGAGGAGATACAGGTCCGCCTGAGTTCCAGAGGTGAGAATGGATGGATTTGCTGCAATTCGAGACTCGCGGAAACACCGGGTATGACGCTCACCATTATCGTCTCATGCTCAATGTTACCATAAACCCATCCAGCGTTTCATGTAGTTAGGGCATGGTGAACCCAAGTTCCTGGCACCAGAAAAGCATGAGTGAATCACCCAGATATCACCAACCCACAATCCGAAAGTGACTCAAGCATGTTTGATACTCTCGCCTACGTCCCACGCAGTTTGAGGGGAAGTAATCGGATGGATGAGATGATGAAGGAAGAATGTAAAATGCTGGATGTGCGAATGCGGGCCGATGGGGCAGGCGATCATTTTGCTGGGTAGCATTCCCCATGTTTCCTTCCGGTAAGTGTCCGCACGGTAGGGCCAGGCCTTCAACCACGGACACCTGAAATTCGACTGCACCTGAACCCGCTAAACTGACCAGATCAATTGCATCACTAGCAAACGTAGTTTGTGAAGAAGCATGTTGGGCCTGTCCACTGCATCATGGCTTCGTTGCTTTGGGTTTGAAGGACTTTTATCTAGAATGACTCGAGCTGCGGCTGGCCTCCTCTTCCTCGACAATCGTGTCGGCTAGAAGAGCAGCCTTTCTTAGATCCCTTGAAGCTTGCCTCCCGTGCCAAGCTGTGAAGTAGTCATCCTCAATACTGGGATTGCTTGCAGAAGGCGTCGTCTTCGCAGTGTCATCGGGGAGATCATCGTCATTCCCATAGAACTTTCGGGCAGCGGTACCCAGTATAAACTTTATCAGCCGATCTGCTGTCTCGACGGTAATTGTAGTCGTGCCGAACAAGATCAATCCAATGCCGACTCCTGCCAGGATGGCAATCGCAAGGAAGGCAAATAGGGCCTGCGAGCATCATATGAGCTCTCTCTTCTTCTCGCGATACTAGAGGGACAAAGCACGCGATCTAGGTACGTACCTCAAACTTGACAAGTATCCTCAAAGGCAGGAAGATAATTTGAACCGCGAAGTAGCCCAGTGCTACCAATGGCGAGGTCAGAATGCGCAGCAGTGTATATGCCCAGCGCACTAGGTAAAGAGTAGGATAGAATAAGGCATTGAAACCGCCCCGCAGAATTGACAGCCAAGCCATGTGCTCAATCTAAAGCGATAAGAACCTCTTACCAGGACTAGTCTCACCTCAGCAGTCCAGAGTATATTAAACAGCTTAGAACTGTCGCGGGCGTGCCTAGAGCGTCCATATCAAGGAGAGGCTGGTAATCTGCTTATGTCAAGCGGTCGGAGGCGGCAGAAGGGCGGATATTCCCCGCAATTTACTAAGTGAAGCAGGTGCGATGGACGGGCGTCCGCTTCAAAAACTGGATGGGCCTCATCCGATTACGGAGTGCAGGATGATAATGTACTGTACAGTTTCAATGTGTAAGGGAACTGTTGACAGGACAGGACGGTAGTATAAGGCTGGGTCTCAACTTCGGTACAACTATCGGCAAACAATCACTGACGGAGTAATATAACGGCCGGAGCGAAAGCCAATCGTTGGTGGGAAAAGCGGGGATCGGGGATAGAATGAGACTCTCAGCCAAAACAGTCCGCAACCCTAAGCCCTAAATCTCCCTTCCTGGCCCAGACTTGTCTCCTCTCTAGTACTAGTCTGGGGTCGACGACATCGACATCATCAATCATCAACGCGGCACCCATCAGCATCTCCCCGTTGCGATATCCTCCACCCGCCTTTGTTGATCTGGACCCTTCTCATTTCCCAAGATACCTTTGCTACTTATTTCCCCTCATTTACTGTGCTACGTCTGTCGATCATTACAAGGTGTTCTCTACCCAGTTGTCGATCTCTTATTATTCTCGGAATTCCATTACCCCTCCGCCGTCAGAGGCCGTCCTCCGGATGCTGGCATCTTTTTGTATGCGCCTTTCTTAGACATCCCCCGTGCAGCGTCTTACTAGCTACCCTGAGACTCTCAGCTTCATTCCTTTAAATAATAAGTGTCTCGGTATTTGCTGTTCAAATGGGCAACAATCCTTCCAAGGGCCCGGCCGGAGACGCCCAAACCCCCTCGGGTCACTCGGGCCTAACGGCACCCGCGAGTGACAAAAGGGTACATCGTCGACCTTCGGTCAATGCTTCATCGGGTACCACTAAGGCTTCCGCAGCCGATCCTCCGGCCACCAGAGAGACCGCAAAGGGTTATCCAACATCGCAAAGCCACCATTCGGTTCAACAACGCCTACAATCCCGCAATGTCGCCGACTCCGCAACAAGAACCGCAGATCGTCCGACTCCCAAAAAAGCAGACCTTCGCGATGGTGACATCCCCTCGCCTGACCCTTCTAACCCAGTACAAGTTCCTGTTTCTCGAGCCACTGCTACGAACGACCCCATGGCGCCCTCTGGGGCGCCGCCAAATGTATATTACAGCGCCTCCGTTCATCTTCAGCGCCCTCCGCGAATGCCGCTACCCATTGGCGATGCTACAGCTGTTGGTCGAGAAGATGGTTATATGGAGTCGCTGCCCGTCGACCAGCTTTTGGACGAAAATATTGAGCAAAGGCACCCGAGTCAAGGAAGCACCACTGTGGAGGATGATGAGATATTGGACGAGCTTCAGCCTTTTACGCCTAGCGGAGTGGGAAGGGCAGTGCCAACTACCATTGAGTGGACTGGCCCTGGAGACAAGGTCTATGTAACTGGAACATTCGTGAATTGGGAAAAGAAGTTCCGTCTACACAGAAGGTACGTGACTACCACCGCAGGGGTCTCAGCACCGATTGCTCGATCTCTGCCAGCTCGTATGTTGTTTTGAACTGTGGTGCTTTGGATAGAGGATTTGCGGCTGCCGCTTTCAATCGTCACTGGCTACCTGGCTTTCGATGACTGATCGATTATCTCTGGAGCAGTGAGAACAACCCAGGCGTCATGTCAGCTAGATTGAATCTCCGTCCGGGTACCCATCATCTTAAATTTATTGTCGACAACGAAATGCGGGCTTCTGATACTCTTCCGACGGCGGTGGACTTCACGAATCACTTGGTCAACTATATCGAGATCAGTGCCGATGATATTAATCGGGGGCGGAGAGAGAGCGACAAGGGCTCGGTTCCCCCGGGTATTCGTCCACCTCAGGTCCTACCTGACCCTGCCACTCCCGATCAGGAGGGTGGTTCCACCGTGGATGATCAATCTGATAAAGAAGAGCCGGAGGAGGAGATACCTCTTGGTGATTTCCGCGGTATCATTCCCCAGTTTCTTCTCGACCTGGACAAAGAAGAGGAAGCGCCTGAGTATCAGCAAGCTGTCAATATAGTGGGGGATGCTCCAACGCCACCAAGTCTACCACTTTTCCTTGGGAAGTCCATCCTGAACGGCACTACACCGATGAAGGATGATAGCAGTGTATTGAACTATCCCAACCACACGGTGCTAAACCATCTTGCTACAAGCAGCATCAAGAACGGTGTTTTGGCCACGAGTGTGACAACTAGGTACAAGCGAAAGGTAAGTCCATCGTCTGTAATTGGTGTCCTTGTGCTAGTGTTCCTTGTATGATATTGACTCAAACTTGTACAGTATGTTACGACAATTTTGTACAAGCCTACAGGAGATATCTCGGAGTAACTACAGATAGAATCGATTCCTTTACTGCTCTCTCCACTGCATGGCCCGGACAGTGTGAGTATTGACTCGGTATCCAACCCCATGGGAAAGTCTGTCTTATGCAGAATGAAGCTCGCTGTATAACTCATCCATATGAAATAGATGATTTGAGAATTACGGATATTTGACTTCCGTTGCGTTTTATTGCCAAGAAGTCTAGAGTCCCATAGATCCACATATAGTTGGGCATGCAATCCAAGCACACTGGATCTTGAATACCCCCGATCTGCTTGGAACAATAAACCTGAGATGCAGGGGTCTGCTTCCCTGCTCGACGTTGCTCTGTTATTGAGGTGGTGTTTGACTAGCTGTTAGGACCGGCTGATAGATGAGCCCTCTTGAGTGCCGGCCAACGGTCCGTGGTACCTCAGCGTTCTCGCCTTAGTTCATACAAATAGTTGTGTGATGTATCCTCGAAACAAACCTCTACCTAATTCCTCGATATTGAAGCGGGGCCGGTCAGTCCGCAGATGACACATTATTCCCACAGCTTCCGGCGCAAAACTATCTGGTCTTGCTTGTAGTCTTTGATAGAGAAATAGAAGGAACGATCAGTCAATGAGTGATCGATAGGCTGCACCCGTGCTGCTGACTACTTATCTTGCAGTGTCAACCCAAGTATGGCTTTCAAGCGCCGAACCCTGCGGCCTCGTTCAAGATATTTATCTAAGTTCTATTACTTATATCATGAGAATCATAACTCTTAATCAAATCGGCACACGGTTCAATCCCTCCATTTCACTAGAACCTCATCCGTGCGGAACCGTTGCGTACAAGTGGCGTCCTTGAGCGGCGTCCGGAAGCCAGTCTTGTAGGCCATCAGACCAGCCTGGGCAATCATAATGCCGTTGTCGATGCAGTATCTCTCATCCGTGGCATGTACGGTGCCCCCGCGGTCGCGAGCCATGATACCCATCATCTCTTGCAACCGTTCATTGCATCCCACACCACCGACAATCAGCACTTCCTTCGATCCCACATGCGCCATCGCACGTTCCGTGATCTCCACCAGCATAGAGTAAACAGTTTCCTGCAGTGAGAAGCACAAATCCGCACGAGTAGGCTTCCCATCGTCTGCTTCCCCTTGGGCAGAGTCCGCGCTCTCATCTTTTTCGTTCCACTCCCCATTGAGTCCGTACTGGATGGCCAGCGCATCAATCGCTGCCAAAACTCCAGACATGGAGATGTCCATTCCCTTGACGGTGTAGGGCAGATCCACGAGTCGCTTGCCCTTCTTGGCCAACTGTTCAATATTATAACCCGGCGCAGGGTCATTGGAGATGTGTAGCGTGCGTGCGAAGCGGTCCAGACAGTTTCCGACGGCGATGTCAAGGGTCTCGCCGAAGATGCGGTACCTCTGCGAGCTGTACGCGATCACTTGAGTGTTTCCGCCGGAGACGTAGAGGACGACTGGGTTCGTGGCGCCGGTGATGGCCCGACCCATTTCAATATCTGTTCAAGCTTAGGGTTAGCGACGCGGCGGTGATTCAATTGCGGCTTTTTGTGTCCAAGAACTCAAAGGAGGGTCAAGGGTGGTAAAAAAAAATAGGGGGGGGGGGGGCGAGCAGATGAAGAGATGGAGATATTAGACGGGGCCAATGCGTCACGTCTTTCCCCACATGGCACCCCTGTGAAAGAAGATCTTGATAACGGGCTTGCAGAGATGACGACGTGGTACTTACGTCCAACACAGTGGTTGACTCCCACCAGCTCCTTGCCCCAAAGTAGACTCAGCATGCGCGCGGCAATGGCACAACTCTGCAGAGGGGCGCCCATGCCAGGACCCTTGGTGTAACAAATACAGTCAACATCCTTGACGGAGACCCGCGCATCTTGCAGAGCTTGCTTGACCAGTTTCACCACCCAGGCGCGATGGTGGCGGGCAGTGTCCTTGGGTAGGAAGCCCTCGCCGGGAGGAGTGACATAGGTGTGCCGCACGTTCGCGAGTACCTGCGGGGTGCTGCCATCCTCCGGGTGGAAGATAATGCCCACTCCGACTTTGTTGGCAGAGCCTTCGATTCCGACGGCAATCATGGTGGAAGGCGCAGCGCAGATGTATAGGAGTATAGAATGACTAGGGTTTCTGCGCAGAAAGGATTCCGAATCGATTGAACGATTTGCAAGCTAAGCCGACAAATCACCGCTTCGGAGAAGCTGTTCAAAAAATGAACCTCGAAGGCCGGGTCGAGCCAGTGATGGAGGGGCAAATTCGGGCCTGGTTCGGCTTTATCAGCAACGTTATCGATTGGTCGCCAAAGTCTGGGACGGCAAATCCGCCGCAGCGTTTATCCGGCGGTACAGACAAAGTACTAGTACTAAGAACTGCCTGTCACTCGAAAGTGGTAGGTTAGTACGGAGGAGTAAGTCAGGACTCGGTCTATCACCGTCGCTAAGTTAACTACTAGCTAATTACTCAGGTCTACTTACCCACCCCCCATTTTCTCCCATTCTCTCTTCACCTTCCCCCCCCCCTCCTTCTCGTGACACTTCTATCAACCACGCCATACCTTTCTCCATCCTCTCCCCCCTGTTCTCTTGAGATTCATTTCCGTCTCCCCTTGAATTTCCGCGGCCGCTAGACGGTGGGGGGTTGCTCAATTTCCTTTTTCTTTGGTGTGACGGCCAATTCACACCACACAACTTGACCTCTTGTCGTCCCACATCATGTCCTCCACTACCCATTTTCCAGACGCAAACCACTTCCAGCAACAATCAGATGAGTTCATCACCTGGCTGTCTAGTCTCCCGGGCGTCAAGTTGAACCCTAAGATTCAGATCGCTGATCTGAGGGCCAGCGGCGCCGGCCGAGGTGTCGGTATGTTTCCCACCCTCCCTAAAACGAGTTTTTTGTTCCGCATGGGTCTTGTCTCATTGTTGCCTGCTTTGTGGAAGTCTTTCCCCCTCTCTGATAATCTCGTGTCACTCTACCAGTGGCTCGACTCGATCTCGAAGAAGGCGAAGAGCTTTTCACCATCCCCCGCGCCCATGTCCTCTCCGTTCAGAATTCGAAGTTGAAGGACCTGGTCTCCCACGACCTGGAGAAACTTGGACCATGGCTTTCTCTCATGGTGGTCATGATCTATGAATATCTTCGCGGTGATCAGTCCCCATGGGCACCGTACTTCAGAGTCCTTCCTCGGAATTTTGACACCCTGATGTTTTGGTCCCCAGCCGAACTTGCGGAGCTTCAAGGCAGCGCCATCGTGAACAAGATCGGACGACAGGGCGCAGAAGAATCCATACTCGAGACCGTAGCCCCCATTGTACGGGCAAACCCTTCCCTGTTCCCTCCCATCGACGGTTTAGCCTCTTTTGAAGGAGATGTCGGTACGCAGGCTCTCCTCCACCTGGCCCATACCATGGGGTCGCTTATCATGGCCTATGCGTTTGACATCGAGAAGCCTGAGGACGAGGATGAACGCGATGGAGAAGATGGCTATGTTTCAGACGAAGAGGAAGGACAGTCGTCTAAAGGCATGGTCCCTTTGGCCGATCTGCTCAACGCAGATGCCGATCGAAACAATGTATGTGACCTTCCATCTAGTATGGGGAGCCTCGTAGCCCTAACTAATGCTTCTATACAGGCTCGCCTCTTCCAAGAAGAAGAAATTCTTGTTATGAAAGCTATCAAACCTATCGGAGCTGGCGAGGAGATTTTCAATGACTACGGAGAGATCCCCCGGTCAGACCTCCTGCGACGGTACGGGTATGTCACCGACAATTATGCTCCGTTCGATGTCATCGAGGTATCCCTCAGCAATATATGTCAGGCAGCGGGTCTTTCGAGTGCTGATGTTGAATCGCAACCTCCGGTATACTCCTGTTTCCAAGGTCTGCTGCTTCCAACATGCCCATGCTAATGTTTACCATAGCTCCGGTTCCTAGAAGAGCTGGAACTCCTTGATGACGGCTATGCCATCCCAAGACCCTCCCCTGAAGATCAGTTGACAGACATCCTTCAGGATGAATTGCTTCTGTTGCTCAAGACTCTATCGCTGTCACCAGAACTTCTGCAGAAGCAGATATCCAAGAACAAGCCTCCCAAGCCGACATTTGGCGAAGCCGAAGCTACCATACTTGGTAGGGCGCTGGAGCTCAACCAAGCGCACTACCCAACAACCATCGCACAGGACCAGGAGCTTCTCGCTCAATTGAGCCAGCCAGCCGCCTTCAACCCTGCTGATACATATATGCGCCGCAAGGCGATGGCTATTCAAGTCCGCCTTGGCGAGAAAGAAGTTCTGCAAAGTCTCTTTACGATGCTCAACAACCAACTCAGCAATCAGGCCAGCGGGTCCGCGGCCAAGCGCTCTGCCAACGACGACCACGACGAATCGAGACGCCTCAAGGCTTTCAGATCTTGAAGCTCTTGATTCCCCCTCATCTTTGACTATATTTGGAATTTACAGAAAAGTCTTCATTTTCTTTTTTTTCATCTTAATTGGTATTATTCTTGTTTTCTTCGTTACTAACTTCGTCGCTTCGCTATCCGTACAGAGTCTATCGACTGCTCAAGTGAAGAAAGAGAAAGAGGGAGAGAACAGGCTATGTACAGTGGCAATCGCATAAGATCAGGGGTCATGTCATAAGAAAAGCGCATCAATCCGGCGACGTTATCCCGGATCTCATATGCTTCCCCGCGTTTCAGGAAAATAAAAAGGTGATGAGGGTATGGCGTGAGTAAAAGTACAGGTAAGGTAAAAGGGAAAATGACAGATGACGCCTGCCAGATGCTGAACATGGGGTTGAAAAAGATTAAAAGGATACGGGGTGGAAGATCAAGATGTGGGAGAGGAGAAAACGAGAGAAGAGATCCAGCTCATATCTCAAGACGTGGAGACAGCGGCACCAGGCCCGGGATTAGATCCCCCTGCTTGCCCCCCGCTTGGTGAATTGCTGCTGGCCGTGGTTTGTTCGGCCTGCAACTTTCGTTGAGCTTGGGCCTGGGCCTGGGCCTGAGCTGCCTGCGCCTGCGCATGAGCTTGAACCGCTGCCGCTGCTGCTTGATCGCGAGCTTTTGCTGCCATGATGGCTCGATGTTGCATGATTTGGATATCGAATTGGTCCCTCTCATAATCGAGCTCCTCATCTGAATCTTCCTGATCGTACTTGAATCGATCAGCCTTCCACGGATCCATTTCAACTCTACAACGAGCCGCAAGGTTTCGGCGATCGATGAACAAACGACCCCCGCGTCCTATACGTCTGCGGAATGAGGGCATCTTGCTCGTGTCCTCGCTCAGTTCCATGGCATGGGTGGCTAATTTATTCGGGAGGGCAATGGCACTGCGGGTATCTATGGCTGAATCCGGCATGTTGTCGGATGATTCCGACGATGGTGGCGTCGGTAACTGGGTGGTGATTGCAGGGCGGAATGCAGCATCGAACGTCCGATCAGGTGAGGGGGAGAGCGGTGCTCGTGTGAAATCCACATAACCCTCGTTCCACTTGATGTGCTTCGTGATGTTCTGCTTGATGTCGCGAATGATCTCGTTTTCTTTCTCCGCTTGGACATCGTCCAGTAGCTGCAGGTCTTCTGCTGGCTGCGTGGCCGCCTTGGGGGGCATGCGCAGCTGCGGAGGTGCTGGGCGCTGCACAGCAGGTGCCTCTACCGGCTTCTTCTTGGGCTAGTGGCATGGTCAGTATCTATGGCTTGGAAGCAGGTCATGATCATCCTTACTCTCTGGTTGATAAGATCCTCATCGTCGTCCTTGATATTGAGTTTCCTCTTCATATCCTTGACCTCGGATCTCTGCAGGAAGACCTGCCGTTCGACGGCGAGCATCTCCTTGCGCGCCAACTCACGCTGACGTACAAGTGCAACCAACTGCCGAGCATCTTCCAGTTCCTTTCTGAGCCGTCGCAGTTTGTCCGCACTTTGCGCATCTCTGCCACGAGTTTTGCGGGTCTGCCGCACCTCGCGCCTTCGGAAACAGACGTACGGGTCGGTATCATCAGCTTCCCGACCAGCTTCAGCCTGTGAACTGTTAGCGGATCGGATAACCTTTGCCGCTTCTTGCGCCAGGGACTCACCTTTGGTGTCGGGAGCAGAGGCTCATTCCCACCGCTGATGCGTCGCGACTTCCAGTAGTCGTATATGTCCTTGGCGAAACGCTTTACGCTGTCGTCTACGGCCGGATCCATCGCCTCCTGGAATTCTTCGAAACTCATGACCGGAGAGTTATCTACACAAGCATACGGCTGCTCTTTCCTTGACGTCAATTCGAAAAAGCTCATGACTTCCTCGAAGTTGTCTTCTGTGCATTGGTTGGCGGCATCGCGCTTTTGGTTGAAGTTCTTAAGGAACACATCATCGTCCTCGTTCATGCAATATGGAGGTCCGCAGCAGTCCTCGACGGTGGAGGAGAAGCGGATGTATGTCGCTGGCTGCGAGAAGACTGGAGGGTAGAGCTCGTCATATCGGAGGTTACTGAGGACGGTCTCCGGGGTCGGAATATGGGCATCTTTTACTTTGCCCTGGGCAGCGGCACTGATAGCGACCTGCAGATGGAATTCCTGTAGAACGTAGGCGTCAGCGGGCTGTGGTTGTGGCCTGGACTGGCGGGTGCAGAATTTTCACGACGGGTGAGGTTCGCGATGATGTCACGTGATATATGCAGGGATGCTAGCGATGGATGGAGAACACGACTCACCGACTCCTCCGCCTTCTCGACACCGGTCTCAATCTGTTGAAGGGCATTTTGGATCTCATCCTCGATAAGATCTATTTCATGTTCGCGGACTATGGGGATGGAGGCCTTGGAGGTGAGCTTTTTCGGGCGCGTCCTCCCCATACCCCCGTACCTAGTCATACGAACTTTGGGGCGCGAGATCGGCCGTTGACCATGGGATGGGGGACCCAAAATTGGTATCAGTAGATAGGTCTGATCATGCGAAAGCACGTAGACGTATTTTTGTGATGGCAGTGGATGGTTAAGGGGAGGATATGGACGGTGGAAATCTCGTAGTCTTTGCACTGGCGGATGAGTTGACGTTGCAATGTCACCCGGCAGTGGCCTGTTTTGGACCGGTGCACGGCCTCAGGGGTTCGCTTGCCTGTCTGTTTCGGGTTAGTGCGGGGCTGGTCGATATCAAAGTGCCGTTTTGGTCTGCGTCGCCTGCCGGGGGAGTCCCCTCTGTTCTCCCTCTCTTACTCTCTCCCGCATCCGGCATTCATCTACTCCGTAATTGTTGGAGTAATCTAGTTCTTGTGCAGCTTTCTGATTGCCTCGTTTCTTTCACCGGTTGTGGTTCCTGGTTGAATCGCGTTTAATAGACAAGAATTTCGTTGACCATCAACACCCTTTCCCACCCCCTACTATCCGCCTCCCCTTTACATTCCGCTCAAAACAAAAGCCCACACCATGGACCATTCCAGTGAGCCCAACAATGCCGCCCTGTACGATGCGCGCCGCCGCAGGGGCTCGGTCGGCACCTCTCAGCTTCTCGACAACATAGTTTCTGCCTCCAACTGTGGGTCAAGCCTTTCGAGAGAACGGTTATCGTGTGAAACTAATGAAGTGTAGTCGATCGCGATGAAGTTGACCGTCTCCGCAAGCGCTTCATGAAGCTGGATAAGGTTTGTCTTGACCGTGCAGCGTCTTACATGTGACTCCATTCTGACACAACTCTGTGTGATGCAACAGGATAGTTCCGGTACTATTGATCGCGATGAATTCCTTTCTTTGCCTCAAGTATCATCCAACCCACTCGCCACGAGGTACTTCGTCCTCTCCCTCACTTTCCTTTGACCTACCATGCCTGATGCAATTCACACCCCCGCTTCACCTCTGCCGCCTTACCCCACTATCATCTCACTACCCACCCCAGAGATCCATCACTGACTCTAACTTCACCCGAAAAAAAGAATGATTGCCATCTTCGACGAGGACGGTGGCGGCGACGTCGACTTCCAAGAATTCGTTTCCGGGCTGTCGGCCTTCAGCTCCAAGGGCAACAAGGAGGAGAAGCTTCGGTTTGCATTCAAGGTGTACGACATCGACCGCGACGGATACATCTCCAACGGCGAGCTCTTCATTGTCCTGAAGATGATGGTCGGCAACAACCTGAAGGATGTGCAGCTGCAACAGATCGTCGACAAGACGATCATGGAGGCCGATAAGGATGGCGATGGGAAGATCAGCTTTGAGGAGTTCACGGAAATGGTGGAGAATACGGACGTTAGTTTGAGTATGACGTTGAGTATGTTCTCCCTCCCCTTTTTGGTCTGCTCCGTCGACCGTTTTGATCTGGGTGGTGCTAACTTGCCGGGGTGGTAAAGATTCCATCTAGTCGTTGGTCGGATGACAAGTGGTGTATACCCATGACTTTGGAAGTCGAGAGGGTGGTGTGTCTTTGATCTCAATTTCCAAGGGTACTTTGTTCCCGTATGTGCGTGCATGCGTGTGTGTGATACGACAATTCGTGATTCCCTTTCTCGTCTCTGCGCTGTTGTTTCCCCCTCGAAATATTACCCTTTGCGATTCGACATGGCACTTGACCTTCATTCTTGCAATCTCCTGCTACCGCTACAACTGCGACTGCGACTGCGTTCGCGGCTGCTATCTGCCCTGCATCTCGACTTTGCCAACTTCGACTGAAATGACGAACGACTCCCTCCCAAGACCCACCGCTTCGCATTGATATGATTATGATAGCGATGACGACCCCCCCCTGACCCCTTGAGCTCTTTCGTCTGCATAGACCAATCTTCCGCTCCCGCCATCCGCCAGCCCTTCACTTTACGACCTTTGATCTAGCAATGCAGTGCATGAATATTCTTGGGGTTGGGCTCTATCCCCTCGTGCCTCTCCCCCTGGGGTCGGAGCAGGAAAGGGCGAGTGTAAATAGGATTGACTAATTACATACGTTACTATTAGCGAATATGTTTTCTATACGAAGTCTTGCCATACTGAATCACCTTGTCTACGCGGAAGCAACCCGACCAGCGCCGTAAGGTAACCAAACCAATAACAACAACAGTTCTTCATCAAGGGGAAAGAGAGGTAACTTGACTCCGAGTATGCGTAGTATGACTAGTATTCGGAAGAGCACAGGGGAATTTGATTCAGCTGAAGCTCACGATACTTTTAGCTGCATGTCGCTCATGTGGAGTTGCGGTTTTGCGGGCTGGCTCATTCGACGCTCGAAGTAGATCAGAGGGGATTGGGATACGTAGACAACCGGGTCGGAACCGGTCCCCGGATACGGCGAATATATAGGTCCTGAGTTTCCCTTCAGGGTTGGGGTATCAATCTACTTTATGAGGCCAGCAAGACTAGGATACTAAGTGATTTCAACATAGAGATAATAATCACCCTACTATGCTATACTAACTGGCCTGCGTGCTCGAGCTGGATCGCTAGAAGAGGATATACGGTTCGCATCCGATCTATGTACAGTATTCTAGAAAAAATCACCAGTAACTAGTAACCAGGACCCTCTCGGCCCTTCCCAGCATCAAATCCTCGACGGTCTGGATCTGAATCTTGATCTGCCTTTCCGCAGCAAGGACAAAGTTCACGATCGCCACGCGATGAACTGCACACACCCACTGTCCGGTCGTACACGAGTCGGCTTGTCCTCCATGACACCCCGTCTCCTCGATGTCGATCATCGTCTCGGCGATCTTCGCGGCCACCATCCCCTCGCAGATCCCCTCGCGGCGCGGGTACTGCTGAAGTAGGCGTAGTGCATTGCGACGGACTGTCGGTTCCCGGCAGCGAGTCGCAATGAGAAACAATGGCTCGGCCACGGTGGTTGAGAGACAGAAGTTGGGATGCGAGGTGTTTTTGCTCGCTTGAGGGGTCGAGTTCAGGTCATCTAGCAGCTTCGTGGCCAGATTGAGCATTCGCTTGTAATCTTCGAAGAAGTCGTCATGGCACAGCTCGCCTTTGGTGAAATCGAGGGTCAGGAACACGTGTGCGAAGATGCGACGGACGTAGAGCAGGTCGAGGGCCCGGTCATCCGTCGCCAAAGGATCCGCGGTGGATACAAAGCCGCTGAGCCTGACGTCCCACTGCTCGAAGTCGTCGACGCATTTCTGCTTCTTGACGAGGTTCTCAGCAACGCGGGCGGGGTTGGCGAATTCCTTGCTCATCATGAGTCGCATCAGACTGTTGAAATGAACTTCTAAGGTGAGATATGCGTCCAGCAGGGATCGAAAGGGCTCCTTGGTGGACGACAAGGTGATTCGGCTGTCCGTCCACTGGAAGTCGCTCCTTTGGTTGGGGAGGTATGGGCGGGCTTGGGTATCGAGTTGCGTAAAGGCCACCAGTAACAGATCGATCTCCCGATCATGGTCTAGTCTTTCTCTATTCCTGACTCCCAAGTCCCAGTGATGGAACATCTTGAGCCCCGAGTTGATATGCACAAAGGCCTGCCATTGACGGCCCTGTAGACTCGCCATGCAGGTGAACAAGAGACAGGTGCTGAGCGCCACTACTTTGTCCAGGCGCGTTAAAGTAGGCCTCGAAAGCAGCCTTCGGAGTGATTGGATGGACTTGTTGAATTGCACCAAGGCGAAACGCACGTTCGGAGTGTCGCCGACCCGTGCGACGGTGCTCGGGGTTCGATCAGTCACAAAGTCGTGGTGTACACATGCCAGCGCGGTCATGGCGTGCCAGAGGGTTGGGTACTGGTGCGCTAGTTGGAGCAATTTTCCGGTCCAGAAGCCAATATCGAAGAAGCCAGCTAGATCGGTGGTGGTGACGGAGCGGAAGAACTCAAAGTTTTCGATCTCGATTGTGTTGCCGGAGACCTGTTCCCAGGCCGAAGCCATCCGCACCACGTGTGGTGACTTGGTTATCTGCTTAAGAGCAAGATCGTCGTAGCCATCGCAGGTTCTGCCGGTCGATGTACATCTCGTGCAGCTACCATTGTTGTTGGTGTCAGACCGGCGGTGGCAAGCGGGATTCACCTGATCGAACCGGGTACATCTTTTCTCTCACCTCGGTTTCGTCTCGTCACACTTGATGCGTCGTATCCTTGGGAGGTCAGTGGCACTTATTCGACTTCACTCGATCTTCCAAGAAGCATACCTGCATGTTATACAACCCGATTTGACTTTCGGGGCCCACTGTTTCAGCCTTACCCTGCCAGACTTGTTTAAACGAGAAGAACTTTCTCCCATCGCGGTGGACGCCACTGGATTGAATCTATGGCAGTGGTAGTTGACCAGCAAACAACCACGAGGTCATTGCAGGTGAGCACAACCGAACTGTCCTCTCAGGCAGCTGGCGCCAAGCCAGGCTGTCGGAGAACCAGGAATAAATCAATCAGACATGCAGGCAGAGGCATGATGATTTGAGGAGGGATTAAGCCACTGAGCATGGTATGATTGGAAAAGAAGGGACTCCAGGGAGGTAAAGCCCCCAAGCCGTGACGCCGAGGGATCCGCTGCATCCTAGCGTCTGGGCAATCGCTGAGAATGGAAGGAGAATCGCTCGGCCTGAAGTGATAAGATCCGCTGTCACAAAGCAATGACGGGGTCACGTGTCATGTAGATATCGGTTGGAATACTTAAAACTAGTATATTAGCAATCCTCTCTCCTCCAGATCTCTGAGTCCTAGTCTCTGGCTAGAAAAAACCTCTACAAATGGCAGTCTTCCACCTCCTCCCCCTCGAACAAGCATTCTTGAAGACGTCATCAGTCGAGTTCCAAACACCTCCGTCCAAGCGTCATTTCAAGACTTCAATAATCATGATGTCTCACACAGCAGTCATGAGTGTTTCTTCACCGTGATGTACAGCTTGTTGTCTATCACTCATCTACACCAACCAACAATTCAATTGTCTCAAAACCAGATGTCGTTCACGAATATCCCTTTGGGGGGGGAGGATAGACCTGAGATTCGATGTCGCATGAGTCTGTTGATGACAATGGTACAACAGCACTGGATGAGTGTCTTATTTCTGACCCAGAGCATATGCAGAAATGGCCCAAGCCCTCGTTGTCGTCGCACTGCCGCTCAAGCTCATTGATGTATAGGTAGATAGCTTGATCATCGATGTAGATCAGAATGTAGTCCGATTGACTATCCTGGGGACTGTGAGTGAACCAATTCATCCGTAATGCTATACAGAGCCCAGGCCCAAGTTTACCTCTAGTGTGATTGTCCTACAAATTAATCATGGACAATTTAATTCAGAACACAGCCCAAATAGTCCAGCCTGATCCCCTGCCCCTCAAAAAAACACAAAACCAATCCACCAGACCACAAATCCAGCATACCCCTCCAACATTTATCTAACCCCCAATTGAACCAAGCTCCCCAGCAAAACCAAGGCACCGTACTTTATCACATCAGTCAGGCAGATTCACACCCAACCCGCGATCCCCGAGGTGACTCCGCCCACGATTCCCAGCCAGGTATCTCCGAGACCCTACTAGTGATCGCCCTAAGATCCTTCCTGGGGGCTGAAAAGGAAAAGCAAATCAATGAAAATTATTCGAAAAAAAAAAAAAAAAAAACAAAAAAAAAAAAAAACCCATGGTCCCAGGAACCGGGTTGACTCTCGGACGGGAGGAGATCTAGACGAGATGTCAGATTCCCTTCCCCCTGCCCCCCCCCCTCCCCACACCACCACCACGGCTACCACGGCTACCATCACCACTCCATCGGGATTTACTTGCTTGCGTGGCTCTTATCTTCTTTCCTTCGGGGGGCGTGAGTTAGGCGTCACGGGGCTGCGGAGATATGACCAGATCGGAAACAGATCGATCCCCTGAGCATTAAGTACAGTACATGATCTACTCGATCGAAGGCAACACAATACTCATTGTTCTGCTGCTTGCATCCAGCATGAGGCAAGATCCAGCAGGTACTAAGGTGCATGCCTCGATTCAGGAACAAGAAGCCCCGGGAAGGGGGGGGAGGGAACACATGGCGATATCCATTCTATCGACTCGGTTCGATCAACCAACCATGTTTCCTCGATCTGGAGGGATCGTAATGTACAAAAAGTACGGGAGTCTTGGGGCAACAAGTATACTGTACGTATTGCAAGAAGAAAAAACGAACCAGACCTTTGCCATTTCTTCTGGCTGGTTTTTGCGTTCGCGAACTGCTCTCGATACTTTTTCGGAAGTACAGGGTGGAGATATACATCCACTAAGCGGATGTGCTGAGATACGGGCTGAACAAGCGTACCGCCCAGCCACTATCACAATTCGAACTGCTTTTCTTACTCGATCAAGTACATGTCGATAAGAGAGAGACCTCTGCATTTTTTCTCGGAAGCTCGATCAGAGAAGTGAAGGTTGCAGGTACAGTGTTCCGGCGTCAACTGGCTACCGAGATGGAGGGAACACATGTGAAATAGGTATAATCAGTGGCTATGTTGAAATGAGTACTGTATAATAATATGTGAGAGGATGAATATCTATAATCGCTTTCTCGAATGCACCTGGTCCCCCCTTCGTTCGTTCATCCCCCCATCATTCATCCTATATGTGAAACATTAACTTCATAATAGAAAAGTGACCCGTGTGCTGCGTGACGGTGGTATCTCCTCAGCCCTGAACGCCAGAACAACCAAAAAAAGTGATTTTGCAACTGCGTGTTGTGTAAGTCTGCGCTTTTTCTTCCACCCCTGTCGGCCTAGACAAAAAAATGGACCACTGTAGATAGTCGGGTTTAATCGGTCTTGGTACCTGACAAGGAGGCATGAGGATGATATTTCCGAGAAATCCATGTGGGCTTCAGACTCTGAGAGTGAGCCAGCGGGGCTAGGTCAACCACCAACTCCGAAGGATTAGGGATTAAATTGGTGGTCTTACCCGGGGACCAGATTTTATGGAGCCCGACCGCAAGTCGAAAGTACTCATAAAAGGTGGAGGACATGAGAGCCGGACAGTAAGACTGTCAATCGATAGTTCGTCGCCCCGGCCTCGCTCCGGCAGGAACTAACTAATTTAGTCCCTGCATTAGAGGGGCCTTCTCCAAAAGTACGCGGGCCCTAAGTCGAGCTCGGTCTCAAGGTGTCAGGTCAATGTCGCTACTCGCTAGTGGAGGTCCGCGACATTCAGGAGATTTGAGCTTCCTGGTGGATCACCGGGAGGCTACAGTTACTGCGTGCGAACGGAAGAAGTCGAGCCGGTCTTCCACAATATCGAGACATTGGCCTAGGACTGCCGCATCGATCATTAATTAAACTTCTTGTCTCCGATTGATGTTTCGATTGGCAAACACTTACCAGAGAGAATCTCCTCCTCCCAGATCCCAAGCTGATAATCGACGAGTCCATGCTGTTCCATTCGATCGCATAGCTGGATCAGCTCTTTACCCAGGTTGTCCATGGCTTCATTGCTGAGGAGACTGGTCTGTGGTGGCTGACGTCCTGTCTGAAACAGTTCCTCGGCCATATCTTTTTGTTTTTGGCAGAGGGCAAGCCAGCAGATATTGAAATCATTCCAGAGTTGTAGTCGATCGGCGTAGAATATCTGCTCATCTCGGAGGACTCCTATACATTGATGACCATCAGTTTCACAATCCGTAAGGGCACTTGCTCAGCCGCCCCACCCTACCCTACCTTCTCCTTGGGCTGATGCCAGCAACAGACGACCATGTACCTTTGATTCTCAAGGTGATTATAATTACTTACGCAGTACATGCATGGCGTGGACCGGTCCAGGAGAGAGTAAGGTGGAGTCTAGACTGGCGAGACCCGCTGGGTTGGACGCTAAAGGAAAACATACCGAGCTCCCGCGCATTAGTCACAAGCCATTCGGAGATTTCTAAGAGTGATCGGCTGGCCTCCACTAATCGGCCAGCGCGCGTATTGTCAAATGTTCCTTGCACCGCGCGTTGAAATTGTGCATACACTTCCCTCACGTTGGCTGATTGGAAGTCCGTCCGTGGGATCTGTTGGAGCTGTTGTTGTGGTTGTTGCGATGGTGGTTGTTGCGGTGGCGGCGGTGGCGAAGGCTGCTGCTGCTGCTGCTGCTGTTGCTCCATTCGTTCGCCAGGGCCGATGGAGGTCAAACCGGTCATATTGGCTTGATAAATGTGCGTTACGCTCGAGCGTCCTATGCCCCCTGGCGGCGGCGGATTATAAGCGGAAAGCGGGACTGTCGACGGCAAGTAAGGCGGCCCTACTGCTGGAACCCCAGTGCCTGTCGGTTCATTTGGAGGGAAATATTGTGGAACACCAAACTGGCTGGACAGGGCTTCCATCGCTGCAGATTGCCGTGCCGAGTATGGTGGTGGCACCACCTCGTACGTGGCTTGGGTTGGGCCCTGTTGTCCACTGAGGTCGTATACCATCTCGGAGTCGTAGGGAGCTAAGGGCTGGTGCACTGACGGGTGCTGCTGGCGCTGTTGCTGGTCGCGCAACGTCGGGGGGTATGGTTGCAACTCGTTCCCCTGCAACGGACCGCCCTGAAAGGGACTCTCTGTGTATCCATAGTCCAGGTAGGTGGACATCCGGGGACGCCCCGTGGCGTGCGAGGATGCATCACCTCCACGTGCTGCCGATGGGACCCCGGCCTGTCTGAACCGGTCCGCTGCACCACGACGGGACATCCCGGCTCTGGTTTCAAAGCGGGCATTTGAATCATGCTGCTTCATGCGCAGGATATCGCCATCCATCCCCCTACGCACTGGATCGAGGTCAAAGGACCAATGCGCTGACGGGGACAGGGGCGGGCTTGCGTAAGAGTCCAGCTTGGCGAGAAATTGACCTTTTGGGAGGGGGAGGTTGTTTATTCTTCCAGCTTGGAGCAGAATCGTCGTCGCTTGCAATCTCGCGCACGTAGTCGCTCTGATTTGCTGGCAGGAAGTTGAAATTCAAGCCGAAAAGATTTGCAGGTAAGCGCGCGGAGATCCCACGGTGTCACTTCCGCACAGGGACGCTGGTACAACCAGCGCACACGATCTAGATGGAACCATTCACAAATCAGTTATGTTCAACGTCAATCATCAGACTATTCGGAAACCACCTGCGCACCTGTGAGGGAAGACGACGCTTCCGCCAACTGGTTGGTTGGAAGCAGAGTATGTATGCTTTAGTCACACCGCCAGACAGTGATATTATGGCTAGATTTATATGTATGTTCGAGAGTGCAAGATCACCCGAGAAAAGGAACAAAACCCTTAACCGCAGTAAGCACCGTGCAGGAATAGCAGTGCAGGAAGGGTCCGCATAGAAAGATGCAGGGGAAATATAACTCGAAGGAGGTGGGTGGAAGTAGAACCAATGAATTTGAATGGAGTGGTGAGTGCCCTTTTGTTTGCAGCCCAAAGGAAGATAAGTAGATATTGGGAGTCAATCTCAGTTGCTTGCTTGCTTCGGATCACAGCTACTGAAATGGAGGGGCTGTAGAGTGGGGGAGGACCAGCGGCAGAGGAAGTAAAGGACTGGGATGCACGGATTACTTATAGTACAGTTCCCAGTAGCTGGAGGAGCCTGTGAATCAGCCCCATAGCAAGGACAATCTTGATCCACTGAGACTTGTCAAAAAGTCCTCTGGAAGCCGAGTAATTCATGTCATTCGGATTCAGGATAGCAGCATGTTGTGAACAATGAAACGGGCGAAGCGAGCGCCTGTATCAGGTTTCTGCTCGGGCTTCTCTTGCGCCTGTGGTGGGGACCGGAGAGGATGATCGGAGAGAAGTATCCAAGAAGATTGAAAAAGCAGGAATCGGGAAGTGAAAAAGAAGAAAAAACAGAGGTGAAAATAAAATAAAATAAAATGAAATTAGAAAAGAAGGAAAAAAAAAAAACAAAGCAAGAAAAAGAAGCATCCCTCGAGGAAGGGGAAGGGAGGAAGAATATCGTCACCGATCCACGAAGCGCGAGAAACGAGGAAGAAAACAAATGACACTAAAAGGAAAGGAAGGGAAAGCTGGAAAACCCACTGGACGGAAGGGGGGGACAAGAATTGGCAGAATTAGAAAGAGAGAAAAAGAAATGATGAGCAGAGAGCCTATTGTCTAGTAGCATCTATCCCATCCATCAATCAATCAAGTAGGCAATCAATCAATAAATCAGTCAGTCAGTCAGGTCAACCAAACTACTAGCTAGAACTGATGATGGAGACCATTCCAACCTGCCGGGATTGTTCAAGTTCGAATTTACTAGTTTTTTTTCTTATTTCCCTACACTCAAATTGCTTCCCCCCGGGCCTTTCTAGGTATTTTCTGGCCTATTATGATGACCAACTGCATGAAGAGATGAGATTTAGATTTGTGCGAAAGAAACTGATCGAGCAAGCTGTTCGATTTCCTTCTCGAACCTCGCCTCAGAACTAGAATGACGAGTGCTACCCAGAGTCACGTATAGATTATTGTTGAGAGCCCAATCTACTCCCCACGATGAACATCGATCGAGCCCCCTTGAAACCCTCAGCCACTTCCTCGCTCCACCAAGAAGCCCAAACCCATGTCGGCGGTACACACTAGATACAGGCGCATACGATGGTCTCGGTAGACGCACTACCGGGGAGACGGGGGCTGACTACCAGCTGATCATCAGTCATTTCTTCTGTCGACCAATCCGTCGGGACTCTGGGTAGTCCAAGGCGTGCATTACGGGCTTTCAGGCCCATGAGGGCGGCTGACGGAGGCAAGCAGAGTGGATATGATGACGCCCAAGAGGGGTAGCTGATTCCGATCCATCAGATTTTCTGACATGGGAACAGGGAGGAACAATAATGGAACCGATTAAAAGAAGGGCCAGGCGCCGTGTGATTCGTGGACTCCCTGCCAGCCCAAAGGGATCGTGACGGGGATAATTCAGACACGAGGCGGGGCTATTTGGGACTTCTGAGTGGGAAATAATAATAAATCGACCCAAAAAGGAATGAAATAAAAACAAAAAGTACTCTGTGCGGTACTAACAATGCCTAGATATTTCCTCGATCTTGCAGGTGCAGGTGCAGCAGCAGCAGCAGCAGCCATCATGGCACTTTCTCCAAGAATCCGATAAGGTTAATCGCCCGGATCCAGACACCCAGAGTTGGTAGCAGGCCCAATGAAGACTGTCGCTGGGACTAGTCTAATCGCTAGAATTGTTTTTAGCTGAGCCCCATCCATCAATCATTCCAAATAATTGCAATTGGAAGGATCCGTTCTCAACTTCTGACTTTTTTCCCGCTGCCCTGAGCCGACTTCCCCGAGGGCCTTAGAGTTAAGCCCTCCCGAAACGCTATTTCGGTGATCGTCCTGGGTCCATGCACCACACCATTCCAGGAACCATCCACCAGGCTCCAATGTCCGTCCGTGAGGCGGTGGCTGGAGTGCCAAAGAGCCAACCAAGGTTGTGGAAAATTCCGATCGAACGGAAGGAGTAGATACCGAAGGAACAAGGCGAGACATGCCGGGCCAAATCGAACGAAGAATGAATGAGGCAATAGAGCCGGGGTCCAGTCTCATGAAATCCACTTGCGATGGACCGTCAATCAGACTTACAAGGAAAGGTATAGTATACTCGAACCACGGGAAGAACCGCTTTCTGGGACGCAAGGATACCGGGGACCTGGGAGGTGGATCAGCTGCTGCCCGGATTGACCACAGAGAGTCGAAGGATTGAGCTGATGGACGGAGGCTGATCCCATATGGACAAGAGAGGGAGGGACCAAACCCAAGATTTTGGATTCGAGGTGTCAGACTTTGGTTTGTAATGTCTGCAACTATCCATGATGACCTAAATTAGCCGCAATTCCCAAGTTCGACAAAGTTCGACATGGGGTCAAAGACTGACAATTATCAACACAGCGTCGTGCTTAGAAGTCCCTAGTTAATAAGGGCATCAATGTACAGTACTTGTTGTACTGTACCTGCCCTAACTACCGGGTAGGTATGGTAGGTACCGTACCACCTGCCAAACTGTACTCACTAGGTAAGGTAGTCACTAAATAAGGTAGCTAGTTAGTGTACGGAATACGGTACTTGTAGTGCTTGGCTAAGCCGCCGAGTCGCACACCTTCCAGCGTGCTGGGAAGGCCGTGCACTAAAGAAGCAGCCAATGGAGGCGATGCTTATGGTAGCCAGGGGGATCGGCATCGCGCCCATCGAGACAAGCTAAAGCAGCCTTCTCGGAGTTGCTCGCAGGTGGAGCCCGCTCGGTTATCTCTTGCTTTTCTTCTTGCTCGTCCGCTCTTTCTTGCTTGCTTGCTTGCCTGCTTTCTTTCTTCCTTGTCTTATTTCTCTCATTCAATCCTTTCGAATTTGCATCGTTTGCACTTCGGGGACTTATCATCCGAAGGATGGAGTCTCGTCAGGGGTGGTCCCCGATGAATCCGATGAGTTCAATGGGTAAGGTACTATGTACGTAGTAGTATGACGTGACGATCACCTAAAGAGAGACGGCTTCTATTAGGGCTAGACACATACTGCCAAATTCGGGGCCGGAAGTCACAGTCCGTGATGACGATATTCCAAATTGTCGAAGCGAGTGAGGCATTGTACGATCTCCGGGTACAGAGAGAGTGTGTGTGAGAGAGTGAGAGAGAGAGGGGAGAGCGAGAAGAGAAAGGAAGGAGAAGTGAGGCGGAGAAAGCCTCCACCCTCCTTCTTCCTCGTCACGATCGATTATCAAAAGTGACAGACAAGAAAGAGCATGCGAATGACAAACAGACGGACAGACGGACAGACAGGCCTCGTGCCGGTCCAGACAGCCGGTGCTTGTGCCGATTGTGGATCTGAGCGTCCTGTCATTCAGCATGCTGCATACTGCTTTCAGAGGAGTACCTATCAATGTACCAAGTACAATATAAGTTAGTACTTCCTGAGGACTTGTGAAGAAGGTACAGAGAGAAGATACCTATGAAGTACCTCTGAAGTACCCTACAAAGTATTCCCGGAGAGAACCAGCTGGAGGAAAGCTCCAGCTCTCCCCGGCCTTTTTTCCTACCTTCCCTTTCCAGTCAGTATGAAACAGCCTGCTTTCTTCACCTGGTGGCACTGGGCATACTACAAACACTATTACAATTAGACCTCTACTCCATCATTTTTCTTCTCCTGCATCAGTGAATCGTGATTCTCCCTTCCTATCTCCACCGTGTCCGCACTCTTTACCCTTTCCTACCTGTCAATTTTCTCTCTTCCACCATCTCCAATTGGTCTAATGAGAGTCTTGGCAGTCTCTTCAGCCACACTAGGATGACCACTTTGTCTCTCATCCAGCGTCCAATGGTCGTCATTCCGAGCCATGAGGTGACGGTGGCCATGGCGACGTGGGTGTCAGAGCAGGCAAGAAGGTTCTGATTTGGCTGCCGAGGCCTTCACCCGCAGCAGGTAGGCGGGGAATTCCCAATGGAGCTGATGACTGATGACGGCTCCCATCGGATGGGTTGTGTTGTCTCCCAATCGTGTCCTCTTGTCTGTGGTTACTGCGAGTCTCGTGGGCGCATCGCATGAGTCAAGTAGATAGGGATCGCGCAGTATAGCGAACGCAAGTCGGTAGACTGTTTGAGCTCTCGGAGAGGAACAATCCACTGCCTCTAGTCCACGAACCTGTTCTTTTCAAAAGTCACCGACTGATCGCCGACTGACCAATTTCAATTCGGCAACGGAGACTGCCCCGTCCGTTCGAGCTCATGGTGCCACAGAACCCTAGCTGGCATCATCAGGCCGAATGCAATGGTCGAAAGGCAATACACTTGCGAAACACGATGAGAGACATGACTGTTCCGCAACTTGCTGGTTGTTTCAGGACAATTTACTGTCTCACCTCCTAGACCACAAGATGCTTGGTTGAGAATCTGTTGCTTCTTCAGTTAAGGAGTTGACTTCTCCGAACTCTGTGTCTGGCGATCTTAGCATACGGCCGAATGCAATCTTCCTGTTAGGGTATTGGATTCAATTTGGCGCAGAGTGGGACAAACCCTTGATCGCCGGCAGTGATCTTAGTCAATGGCGCATGTCTGCCTGATCCAATCCCAAGCTCGTCTTTCTGCTCCGGTAACACCGAGGTCTGTACCAAAATTCGGTTTATTGCTTTTACGCCAATAGTTACATGCCGGTCGCCGAAGACATGCCGTGTCGTGTCCTGAAACGACTTCCGTGACACCTGGTGAGTATGCTTGCAATACAGGATATACTTTCGTGGAGAAAAAATCACAAGGCCAAATAGTATAATACAGCAAGGAAGTAGAAGTACAAAGCAAAGATCCAGGCCCCCCATGCGAGAGGAGACCGATCTCGACCACGCTTTCATCTCTTGACCCAAGTAGGCATCTTGCGCGCCTTGACGTGACCGGGCTTCTTTCTCTCCACGCGACGGGCGTCGACCGTGATGACACCGGCTGCAAAGTCAATTGGTCAGTAAAGAATGGTTGTGGTGGGCGGCAGGGATACGTACCCTTGCGGAGCGCAGGCTTCAGAGCGGGCTCGTGAACCAGTAGCGCTCGTGCAACAGCCAGCGTGATGGCTTCTGCCTGCCCAGTAGTTCCTCCGCCCTGGACTTGAGCCCACACATTATACTTGTCCAGCCGCGACGTACTTCGGAGGGCCCAGGTAGCACTCTCGCGATCATGTACTCGAGGGAAGGCCTCGACCAATGTCTTTCCATTCACCCTCACCTCGCCATCACCCTCAACCAGGAAAGCCACTGCCGAGGAAGACTTGCGCTTGCCCCGGCCGCGAGCACGACCCATTTCATCCACCGTTGCCGGCGCAGGTTTGTTAGCGTACGGGTTACCCGGACGAACAAACTGCTTTATCGTCCGCCCAACGTCTTCCGGCATGAGCTTGGGATCGATTCGGTTAAGACGCTGCAGAATTTTGAGAAGGCCCTTGTACTTCTTGGTCGGCACTTGCTCCCCGACAAAATCACGAAACTGCGGTAGTTTAAGCCACGCCATCCGAGGCGCCTGGCTGTTCTCCACGGTTGGCAGATTGGCATTTGCGGCGAGAATGTCTTCCAGATTCAACAAATGGTCGATGAACTTAGGGTTACCGGAGAAGTAGGACGGAGACGCGGGCACAAGACGAGCAGGTCTGAATTTGGGATCATTGAAGTCAAGAGGAGGAGCGGCCGTGAATGAAGTGGGAATTTCTTCAGTCGCGTATGTTCGCTTGCCATTGAGGCTCTTGGGGAGGCTGGTCGTCGTCGAGGTCGACCATATGGGCGATCTGGAGATCACGGAGCGCTGGAGAACAGGCCGGAGAGGAGCTGCTTGACGGATGGAGTGCATAGCCTGCACAAGACCATTGGGATTCTGCCAGGCCATTGTGCGGCGAGACGGCTGACGGAAGCCTGGAGGAAGAGATGTTCAACGCCTGCTGGGGATGGATTTCTCGGGGGAGCGACACGCGGAGCGGGTTCGCCGGAGGAGAGTGCGAAGTAAGTGAGTGACTGCCTGTTTCCTGCTCGGAGCGGAAACAATCGCTTTTGGCGGTGTTGCGGTGTTGCGGGCATTTCCTGAGGTTTTTCCAGATTCGAGGTCACGTGGACGCAGGAAACATTCCTCCGGTCCCGATGCTCTTTGATTCGCACAAATTTCACCATCCATTTTCTTCTTCCCCTCATTCTTTTTTTCTCTCCTCTTCCCCCCTCCCTCTCTCCCTCTCTCTCCTTTTCTCTTCATCCTACACATCCCTCACAATGGCCTTCGGAAAGCTCTACGGTTCCCTTGTATGTTCCATGCGCAGCTCTTCCCATCAACGAAACCCTGCAGCTAACATGATGATGAATAGGAGAACGCTCGCACCATCGCCGTCCTCGTTGCCGCTAAGGCTAACGACGTCGAGCTGGAGCTTGTTAAGACCGAGCCTAACTCTGCTGCTGCTTTCAACCAGTCTGAGGAGTACCGCCGCATCCAGCCCCTCGGCAAGATCCCTGCCTTCGAGGGTGCCAACGGCTACACTCTGTCCGAGGTCATTGCCATCGCCGTCTATGGTACGTTCTGATGATTTTTTCTATCTTCATGCTTTTCACCCCCGTCCTCGATATGATGAGATTCATCTATTAGTTATCCCTGTCAGAATGGTAAAAAAACAAACTGTGTTGATAACGTTTAACTCTGATCAATTGTTACCCCTCTTCGGGTTGATTATTCATTTGTCACTTGACTGTCCATGAAGCATCGCAAACTAACTTGCCTCGAGTGACTTCCCAGAACGAGAAGACCACCCTCTTGGGTAAGACCAAGCAGGACTATGCTTCCATCCTCCGTTGGTTGTCCTTCGCCAACGCTGAGCTTATGCCCCGCTTCGCTGGCTGGTTCCGCCCCCTTCTCGGCCTCGACCCTTACAACAAGAAGAACGTTGAGGATGCTTCCAAGCTCGCCCTGAAGAACGCTGGCGTTCTCAACTCCTACCTCACTGCCAACACCTATCTGGTTGGTGAGCGTATCTCCCTGGCTGATTTCTTCGTCGCCGCTCTCTGCACCCGTCTCTTCTCCACCGTTTTGGACAAGAAGTTCCGTGACGAGCACGTCCCCTTCGTCCGGTGGTACAACACCATCATCAGCCAGCCCGCCTTCAAGGCTGTCGTTGAGAACCCCGTCTTCGTTGAGGAGGCCATCAAGTACACTCCCCCCAAGAAGGAGGAGAAGCCCAAGGCTGCTCCTGCCCCCGCTGCTGCTGCCGCCGCTCCCGCTGAGGAGAAGCCCGCTGAGGAGAAGAAGGCCAAGCACCCTCTCGAGGCTCTTGGTCGTCCCGAGTTCGTCCTTGACGAGCTGAAGCGCACCTACTCCAACGAGGACACCCGTCCCGTTGCTCTGCCCTGGTTCTGGGCCAACTACAAGCCTGAGGAGTTCTCTCTGTGGTCCGTCAACTACAAGTACGACAACGAGCTTAAGCTTACCTTCATGGCCAACAACCTGATCGGTGGTTTCCACAACCGTCTTGAGGCTTCCCGCAAGTACCTCTTCGGTTCCCAGCAGGTCTATGGTGCCAACTACGACTGCGTCATCCGCGGTGTCTTCCTTGTCCGTGGCCAGGACTTCAAGCCCGCTTTCGAGGTCGCCCCCGACTGGGAGAGCTACGAGTTCGTCAAGCTCGACCACACCAACGAGGCCGACCGCAAGCTCGTTGAGGACATGTGGGCCTGGGATGTCCCCGTCGTCATTGACGGCAAGGAGTACCCCTGCGTTGACGGCCACGTCTTCAAATAAGCTAGTGCACCCCCCTTCAGGTTGTCGTAGCTGTGCCTTAGTGCCGACTCATTGATGATGATGATATCCCCTTTTCCTTTATTCTCCTGGCGATGAGTGAGCCTTGTAGATGAGCACAAAACATAATCTTCCCATGTTCCATCCCCCTTCGCATCCGCCCAAGGCATCCGGTAGAAAGTGTGAGGCACGGACACCAATTCTGCCGTCCCCCTGTGACTCACTTTCTTTCCGCGTCCTCAATCTTCCAACTGTTTCTCCGACATTTCCCCCCCCGATGGTCTTGGTTCTTGTGATTCAATCTTCACTCACCTCATAAAAGCTTTTTTACCCACTTTTCCATGCGTCATGTCATGCTCATGATCTTTACATGAATGATAGCAGTACAGAAGTCTGATAAAGGCTCAAAACAATGAACATCAAGTTTTGTTGTTCTTTCGCATATTGTCTATCTGTCAAGATGCTGTCGTATCAGACGATGCAAACTAGGTCTCTGTATTCGGTGGGACCTCGATTTGGTGATGTACTAGTGATTCACCAGTTGGCACACTAGTCACGCCTGGAGGGCAAACTTGTCCGACTATGTGCATACCCATGTACGTGCAACGAATCGTCTATCTCACCCGGTCATCTGACTGACCATTATTTTTTGTTCTTCCTCCGCGGTCAGAGGGGTGTACCTATAAAAACTGTACTCAGCCCATCGATAGAAAAAGTAGTTACACTAAATATGGGTAGCCCTAAATACGTACTCAACCAGAGGAAGTAGTCGAGTATAAGACAGACTGGACGATCCTCAAGAAAAATCACTGAATATGCATCTGCAAACCAGGCAGATGAGATATGATCAATCGATTTAGTTCCCATGCACTTCTCTATGTAATCATCCAGCATTGTCTAAAATAAAACAACCGAAACAAAAGTCCTCAAACGTGACATGCAACACACTCCAGGACACCGCGCTATATCCTTTCTCAAATTCATATACAGAAATGACAGGACGAGAGCGTAAACGGCCTTTATGTACAGCGCCGTCTAGTTTTGAAAAAGGGATGAGCCATACAACCAACACTCCACCTCCTTTCTGGATTATTCCTGACGGTTGAGCGATGCCTCTAGTTTATCGAGAAGATCGTTTTGGGTATCGGACCGGACAGATGTATCCGAGGAGAGGGAATGGTGCTCGGAATCGAGGGATGTGGCGGGGGACGGGGAGCGGGCTGTTGGGGCTGGGACTGAGACTGGGGCTGGGGCTGGGGCTTGGGCTGTGAAGAAAGTCGCGACCGCCGCCGCAGTAGCTCGGGCGGCTTTCTTCTCCTGCTTGCGGGCCCTGCGACGCTCGGCGCGGGTTTCTGCAACCTCATCGCGGGTCGACCCAGGTTCCTGGGGTACCTGCGGCTGGCTTCGTGGGAGGGTGCGCAAGATGTCGAGGATGCACGTCTTGCCGGTCTCCGCCAGCGTCGTGCTCCAAAGATGCAACGCCTGGCTGACATCGTCATACCTGGACAATTCCTCCAGCAGCAGCAGCACTTTGGTGAGGGTTTGGTTGTCGCCCGGACCCCGGTCGCCCGTGAATTCGGGAATTTCCAGGATGTTGTACGGCTCCGAGATGGCTTTGAGCTTGCTGTCGTCGATGAGGATGGTGTTGGTCTGATCCCACCGCGCTTTCTCCGCCGGTTGGGATTTCTTCCCGCGGAACCTGGGATACGACGCCTGGATCGACGGATCGAGCCAGACGGTATCCAAAGTCTTGTAGACCTGGGTTTTGGATCTGTACTGCGAGCCCGTGAGCGGGAATTTGTCACGACCCCATTCGGCGACAAGCTCTTTTCGGATCTTGCCCGGAAAGATTCTGTGGCAGAGGTTTTGGACCGTGAAGGGTTGCGAGCTCGACCAGACCATGACCTTGTACTTTTCCAGGAGACCCTGGCGGAAACCCTTCAGGCCGGCGCGTTCAACGAAAGAGGGCGGAAATTTGCGATGTTTGCGGTGGACAAGAGTGCCATTCAAATCAAGGATGACGAGGAGGGGTTTCGAAGACTCGTTTCGCTTCGGTGGAAGAGATGATTGCTGAAGATATTCCGCCGTGGGAGAAGGGGGTGTCAATGGCTCGCAAGATGGGGATCGATGTTTATTCGACTGCTGCTGCTGCTGCTCCTGATCAGGGGCCGCTTCCTGCTGGAAAGGTGTACGAAAGGCGATAGGGTCGAGCATTGACATCGCTAACAACGGGTTTGGCATCCCCAAATTCATCATGGGGGGAGGTGGCATGGGTAGTAGCTGGCTCGTAAATTTTGTGAAATCATTCCACGATGCCGGAACCCCAAATGAAGGGTATGAAGAAGAATTGCACATGGGTGTAAACTGTTGCTGTGGCTGAAAAGACGTGTTCTGTTGAAAGGATGGGTGTTGTTCTGGCATATTCTGTGTGAAAAAATCCGGTGGCATTGGTACATTCGGCATCAGAAACGGCAGCGGAGGCATTGTACTGCTATTTGCATTCATCACACCCGGTGCAGGTGGAAACACGAGAGACGGGTTCGTGGTATTGACATTGGCCATGGAACCTGCATGGCTTGTCGCAGCCTGTCCTTGAAGTGACTGCAATGGCGCAGCCCCATGAGGTGACGCGATCGCCCCATGGTGTTGCTTTGGTCGTCTATCGGCTGGTCTATTGTTTCTTCGTGGGCCGTGTCTTCGTGGTCGATCTTGCGATGTGTTACCTGGTGTTTGCGTGCCGGATTGGTCTGCATGTGTAGTCTTCGAGCTCCAACGGCTATGGTAGGGTCTCCAGGAAGCCGCATTGTTGGAATTGCCATTGTTGGAAGGCTTGTGAGGACCACCCCGACCGGTCCCGTTAGAGCCGCGCTCGAATCCACCTTCAGTCCCCATTTCAGAGCGCGATGTGCTATCACGAGACAGATACGATGGATATGAACGATGGTATAATCTCGGGAGAGATGAGAGCCGGACTCGAGAAGTGAGAATGAGATTGGGTTGCGAAATCTGTGCAACATCGTCAGCGAAAGTAGTTAAAACGGTTAATGCTTGTCAGGCCATGCATACACAGACGGCCCCGCTTCGAAACATTCGATCGAGCCTGACGTATTCAGAGAGAGCTGGCCTTGGGGCTAGCATGGAGATGCCTGTAAATAACTTGCATGGGCACAGTAGGGACTGCAGTAAGAGCAGATATGGCAAAGGAGAGTGAGTGAGCGAGCGAGCGAGGTGCAGAGTGGCCAGCGATGGGCGGAGCAATCAATCCGTCGCGATGCGGACGGACCAGGGGAAAAATCGCGATCAATTTCCCCATAGACCAATCACCAACGAGCCGCCTTGGCGACCGCCCCACGATTCCGGCAGAATTGGGGCCAATTCTTTTTTTTCCTGCTCCGCATCGCATCTCACCGCCATACGGCAAAAGTTGGATTTTCTTATCACTAATGCCCAGTTCTTTATTCTTCGCACAAACCAAAATGGCCATATCAGATCTTCTCAATCGCCGGGTGCGGGCGCTTCCCGAGGAAGACGAAGAGGTTTACTCAGATGGTTCCGGTTCCGAGGAGGCTAGTGACCTTGCGCCATCGGACCACTCGGACTCTGACAACGCCAGCGACGGTTCTCTCGATGAGGATGAAGTCGACAATGATGACCTGGTTGGTATCCTCAGCGCCGTAGCATCAAATCCCATGGGTCGCTAACCCATAACACAGTCAGACGAAGTCTCCGACGCTTCAGATAATGACGGTTCAGACGATAGCGAGAGCGACGACGATGCCCCCGAGGATGATGTCCAGGCCTCTCTTGGTAGCATTTCATTTGGCGCGCTAGCCAAAGCGCAAGCATCCCTAGGTCCGAAAGCGAAACGTGCCGCAAAGGCCGCCGCCCGGAGTACAGATGAAGCCACTGCAGCGCCGTCCCCCCTCGACGATATTCGAGCTCGAATCCGTGAAGCCCGGGAGCAGAAACGGCAAGCATTGCCAAAGTCGAAGGATTCGGAGAAGCCTTCTCGCTCTTCCAAACACGCGCCCATGGTGCAATCTTCCAAGTACGCCGTTTCTCGCAAGCGCACGGTCGTCGAGCCCCCGAGCATACCCAAATCCCGAGATCCACGCTTTGACCCGACTGTGACCAGCCAGGGGGGTCGGGGAAATACACAGGGTGTCAAGGACGCTTATGCCTTCCTCGACGAATACCGTGCAGATGAGCTCAAAGAGCTGAAGGCACAGTACGCCAAGACGAAGAATCCTGCCCAGAAGGAAGCCTTGAAGCGAGAGATTCGGTCGACTCAGGATCGACTCCGCGCAATGGAGAACAGAAAGCGAGAGAGGGATATCTTGGCCGATCACAAGAAGAAGGAGAAGCAGCTCATCCGCGAAGGAAAGAAGAGCACCCCGTATTACATGAAGAAGTCGGAGCTCAAGAAGCAGGTCCTGCTTCAGAAGTACGAGAATATGAACTCCAAAGACCGCACAAAGGCACTTGAAAGGAGACGGAAGAAGACCGCCGCGAAAGAAAGGAAAGAAATGCCTATGGAGCGTCGAGCTCTGGCCGACGACGATGCACCCAGAGACCACGGAGGGGGTTTCAAGCGTCGCCGGCTTGCTTAATGTCAATTGCGTCTTTTGCTATCGCTCATAGAGGGATTCATTTGTGTACATAATTATGCATACCACATACCAGTATACCCAATTTGGTATTACCTATCATTATCCAGAATTACCGTGTTTTGCCGGCTTCGATGTTCAGCCAAGCATAGCAACCAAAGTATTATCGTGAGTATCGGGGTAAGAGTAAGGATGAGAGAAGAGTGAAATGTCCCATAAGACTTGGTGAAGAGGAAAACGAACAGAACATTGGTATCGCAAATATGAACATCGAGTGGAAGAAAGAGCAATCATAGACACAACACGGATCACCAGAAGATGAAGTCCCTAACGATATAGACATGGTTCTGAAACCAACACAACGTGACAACAAACGCCTCATAGCCAGTGAATTCCATAGCTTGGATGTAGGTGATAAGATGAGTGCATGCAGAACGGAATCATGAATGGGATAGAGCAGAAACTTTGACAATAATGACAACTTAAAATGCTGTCTGCGGTGTGGTATAAGATGCAGAGAAGAAGATAACTCAAGATGCTGGAAGTAGTCCAGTTCTCCTTCCGGTCTAGGAGCAACTGATCATGCATGTTCATAGAAATGGTCGTAGTATGCATATTCATCATGCCGAGAACGCAGAGTCCTCGAAACATGTTCCCACATGTAGCTTAGGACAGATCCTCACCTGGGTGTAAGGCTTCCGCCGGAGTCTAACCGAGCTGCCCGGCCAACAAGCACATGCTATGTCATGTGGCGCATATCGGACGGTGGCCCTGGCGACTGGTGAAGCCATCCTTCAGGTGATAGGATGCAGAGACAGCGCATTGGTCTTTCAAGAATGGAATAAATCCCATGCTCGGGCGCAAAGACTAAGAAATTCTTCCTTCTTCTTTCTTTGGGTTTCGGGCGAGTCTCTACCAGCACCAAATGGACCACGGCCGGTACTTGTACCAGAAGCCAGAGCTGGATTCGGGCGATAGTGTTGCTCGGGACCGTGGCCGAGTGGAGGACTTCCATGCTCATGCTCGTACTCGTTTCGAGAGCGCCGACGGGCAGATCTTTCCGAAAGATACAGAGCTGGCTGTGGTTGCACATTTGTCGCCGGCGTCATCTCCGGATGAGGTGCGCCAGATTTGGGGGGACCATTAGCAATCCGCGGAGACGGTGGGGTTGGCGGTTGGTGGCCGCCGTAGTGCACAATGCGAGGCAGAAGCTCTTCCCGGCCACCCGACATCTCCTGGACCGCTTCTTCGGCAGAGCGATACTCTCTTGGCCGCTTGGGGATTTGAGCGGATTCACGGGACATCCTGGGAGACGGGATGGGCGGTAAGTTGTTTGATTGCGATGAGCTGGCACCGGATGCGCCAGGGTAAAAAGGTCCCCGATTGATCTCCCTTTCACGACCTCCTAGAGCGTCCGTTCCAAACACATCCGAGAGTGGTGGAAGGCGGTTGTTCGTTTGGGTGGCAGGAACATGGTGAATATGAGATGTAGACCCCAGAGTAGGACTCTGGTTGACGATATGGCGGGTCAATGGCTGTGGCTCATGGCGACCTGTAAACGTCTGGTTCAGTGGTGCGGATTGGATCACACGCTCATTTGCGAATTGAGCTGCAGATGGAGGTATGATGGATAACCCCGGTGGTCTCCGCTTCGAGGCAGCGGTCTTGGGTAGCCCAAACGAGTCCGATGGCTTGATTCCCTCTGGCCCATCGTCCTTGGCCGATTTCTGTAGACGCGATTCGATGATGGATCTCTGCTGATCACGGACTGACAAGCTCCGTTGGAGTTGCTCCCTCATGACTGGGTCGTGGGTTTGGAAGCCCGGCGACAAGCACGCGATTCCGACATTCTGCATGTTGAGGCCATCTCGGGCAGTCATTGGACCGCCTGGGGCCCGGGCAGACAAACCTCCCGAGTTTGGGAGACTAGTGGAGAGATCAAGTCGTCGGGGACGGGGTCGAGTATGGGACTGCATTGCGGGCGATGAGGGTGGCTCCTTCTTAACTATGACTTTCGAAGAATTTATCCCGTTTTGCGACCTAGCTGGTTATTAGCAAGCTCGACGACACACGCACCTGACGTCGAATACTCACGATGGGGAGGTCGGTTTCCTTCCTGCGGGTGAGCTTTGAGTCAACGATCCATCCCGTGATGGTCCAGACAGCCGAGGAGGCGTAGTGCTGTTCTGATTATTCGAAGTCGCGGGTGCCAGAGTTGGGCAATTCTTCGGACTCAAGTCACGGGTCATGCGCGGCGAAGTGAGCGGAGCAGCCTGGACAGGCGCAACCGCGGTGGACATACTGATGAGGGAAGATAATCGGGCGAAATAAGATGCAGCAGGTCGAAGCAAGTGCGATTCCTTGGCAAAGCTGTCAACAACAGAAATAGCTTTCACGCCGAACCAATCTTGAACTGAACAGATACCCTCGCGGGTTGCTGCCTCGCACAGCCACTGTATATATACGGTTTGAAGCCTGTACCACCCAAGGTCTCACAGCTTAACTAGCCGGAGATTCGAATAATTTCCGATGATATGTGTTGTGTAGTATCAAAATTGAGGAACGATGTTGAGCAAAGGAGAGCGCGCGGTTGAGCGAGCTCGGGGAGCGTCGGCGGCTAATCAGGCGGACGACTCGTATGGTGATGGAAAGCGTGCGTGACGTAGTGTAGCGTAGCGTAATGGAGGGACAAGAAGGTACTTTGGTCGGTGGGTAAGCTCCGGAGGAAGAGGAAAGAGAAGAAGTACGGGTCCAGCCCAAACAAGGAACGACCAGCACAGAGGGGGGAGGACGAAGAGGGAGAATGGAGTAGAGATGAAGGGTAGGAGGTAGGGTAGAGGAAAAGAGAAAGCCGGGCGGCGGCCAATGTGGCACCTTGACCCAAATTGCGCTCAAACAGAAGGGTGAGTGAGAGTAGTAAGGTAGCAAGGTAGGTAGGTAAGTAGGTAAATAGTGGTAGGTGGTGGGAGGGAGAAATAGGAAGAATGGATTGGATGGATTGAATGGACTGGAGTGGTCAAAGAGTTATTGGGAGAGGCGGTTGATTCAAGCTGGCTGGGCTGGCGGCAGTGTGACAACGGTTAGAGGTCGGTCAGAGAATCTCATCCGGTCTGGCCCCCAATGCGAGAATTGTTGGCTCGAATCGATGGATATGGATATGATATCGGTGAACTTGGCCCGCAAAAGACAGAACAAAGCAAGTCAACCAGATCTAACTGCCTGCACCATAGGATTGGGTTAAATGAGAAAAGAAGGGAACGAAAAGGAAGAGGAAGAGGAAGAGGAGGAAGAAGAAGAAGAAGAAGAAGGAGGAAGAAGAATTTCAAAATGAGAGACAACAGAAAACAGGCCGAGAAATTATTGTATGTAGTTATGGAGTGGCACTAATTAATAAGGATGTATGTTTGACTTTTGGGGGGGAGGACGGAGGGAGAGAGGGAGGGGGAAAGAGGAGTGAAAGTAAGTGGAGGGGAGAAAAGAAAACAGGGCCGAGTCAATCTCGATGAGACGGTGGCATAAAGAACTACACTACAGCACTCAAAAAGGTACAATTCACCACCCCGTCCTCATCAATCAGAGCTTGCAGCTGGGTCCAATCTAAAGAAGAAATATGGATTAAATTCAACAAAAATTCCTACATGAATCTGACGAAGGGTCAAAAAGCAAAGGGGAAAAAACAAAAAGGGAAATTAAAAAAAAAAAAAAGAAAGGAGTCAAAGATGGGCTAGAGTATAAAGGGAATAATCCCAATCATCATCAGTATCATCAAACGAGGAGTGGGAATTGGGCTGAAATTGGAGCGACGAGGCACTCGAATGGATGTGGGGGAAGTAGAAGCGGATTCAGGTGTGGTTTGAAGATCGATTGCATACAGAAAGAGACAACATAGTACATGTACTCATACTCATACTCATACCACAGACACTAAAGCTCTTCAGCTTGAGAATGATGGGGTCTCTATACTATGTGTCAATCTATCTATCTCATTTCTTTGTATGGACTGTCAACAGCAAAGAGTGAGGGGGGAACAGAGGAAGGAGGAGAAACAAAACACAGGAAAAACCGGCTGGGAGGCATCCAGAATGGTAAGCAGTGAAGGCAAGTAGCCATTGATGAACGGGGATAATTCCTAATAATTCCTCCTGGATGCTCAGACCAAGTGGAGAGGATTTCATCTGATTGGCACCAGCTGAGACATGGTTTGTTTCCGCCCAGGGCTTGTCGCCGAAGATGTGACACACTTGGGACAATTGGCAGTAATCACTTGTCGCTAGGAGGACACCCCTCGGGGCCTTGTGCTCATCTGGATGTATCATACTTATGCTAGATTGGTGTATATATAAGGTAGTTGAATAAGTTAACAGGTAGTTGAAGACAGTGTTATGCTGTAGTAAGTACTGACTGAGAATATGAAGACACGTAGAATCAAATGAATGAATGAATGATGGCCAGGTACAGCACATACAGCATAGCTACTGAGTAGGTGACTATCAGCGAAACGCTGACTAACCCCGCGGACTAACTTAACTAGTAGTAGTGAACTAACCAACCAACTAACCAACCCAGTGCGATCCCCCCCTCCCATCCGGCTTCCGACCTGCGAACAAGAGAACTGCTGATAAGCTGGGAACTACAGTACAATAAAGAACAGCTGAGACTGCTGCTTATTCTCCAGAGCATTGATCATAGCTGGAATAACGAGTGTCATACACAGTCACAAAAGTTTAGTACTATCTTAGTTCTTTGTCCTGACTACCGCGCAAAACGCAAAACGCAAAACACAAAACAGACCTGAAAGTCTGGAAATAGTCAAACGGAACGAGCATCCGAGCTTCATCGCGGCCACGAACCATGACCCAGTTGGATTTCCCTCCCACCTCCGTCCTCCACCCTCTCCACCCCCTAGGTGGCAAACCCAGACCACCTGCGACGCCAGCCTCCCTCACCATTACCAAAACCTACTGGCGCCAAACTGGTGAAAACAATAGTGAGTTAGTGTCCCCTCGCCCTGGCCCCAACCGAGCCCACTTTCTGTCAGATGGATGGGTCATGGCCCCCCTCAGCCTCCTCTCCTCTGGTTCTAAAATTTGGATGGTGGCAGCAGCAGCAGAATGGACAATAATGGGGTTCTATTCAACCCAGGAAATTTATCCGAACTTGACATCTCACATTTCCCCACGTTCGCTTCCTCTTGACCCTACGGAATTGCACAAACAATACGCCAGGAAAAGCTGGCCAGGGGTTTCTCATGAACGCCAGCCCTTTTTTTTTTCCCACGGTGCATAGATCGACCATCCCGCGATCGGCTCTTGTCCTTGTCATAACCCGAAGCGGGTCAAAGTGTCACTCGACCACAACTGGATGACCATCTGGACAAGACACCAATAATACGTAGGAGGATGCGTGTCATGACTTTATGTATGCTTTGCTTTACGTATTGTCTAGGCATACCCACCCATGATCTGGCCGATAGCAGTCTCATGAAATCTCTCTAACTGGAAAGAATTATAGAATCGAGATGAATTCAGAACAGGGAGGGTGAGATACCGATTGTTGCATGCAGGGGATCATCTAGTCTATGAGAGGATTAAGCCCTTGTTCCCAACCGCAACAATCTTTGTCTAGAACGAGCCTATCACCCCCTCCGGGTCGACCGGCGATCTCACACGAGTCTGTTATATTCCGCTCCGAGCGCAATATGTACAGCTCGTGGGCACTGTTTAGAAAATTTTTACCAAGCATATGACCCGATTTGGAAATGGCTGAAGACACAGACCAGCTTCAAGCCTGTCACTGCGATTAGCTCGCTTCCTGCGGTAGAAAACTACGGTACTGTCGCGTTCAGATAGCGCAGGTCTAAGGATCGCGGCAATCAAATTTTAAATTAATCATCAATTGACTCATTGGAGTGGTTCAGTGTATATATCGAGACGCGATATGATCTCCTCTTTAGGATCTAGTGTGAAGCGAAATTGGTATAGGATCCAAAATGAGTCCAGAGCCAGACAACACCATTGATCTAGTATTCCAAGATTGTTCTTGATTAGCAATGATCTTTTGTTTACCATGCTAATTATGAAGAGATGAATGGGTCGACTCCGGTGGGAGAAAGTTTCCTGCCTACTGTTGGGATCATGCATCAATGCTAGACAGGCAGCGAACTATAAGAACTACTGCAATGGATCAATCAATCCCTGTTACCGTTGCAGTTGGGCTTGGAGGGGGAACAAACACCACTAAGCTAACCCCGGGACGATTTCGGGGGTTGTTGTACATACATGAACCTACCCGAGGGGGCGCAGTCATCCGCGGTGGATGATAACAGCAAATAGAACTACGGAGTACGGAAGAGAACGAGCAAGATACATAGAATGGACCCTTTCCCCCAGCAGATGCTGAGTCGAGACAAAAGGATGAGGATTTGTATGGAACCGAGCCAATCCCCCTCCCCTTCTCTCTACTACCTATCTGATGATGCTACTGAATCATCGTATATTTTTTGGTTTTTGTTCCGGCAATGGTGCAACTGATGCTGCTTGGAACTATTCGTCGGAGCGTATCAATTGATTCTCACGGGAAATAGTGTAGCACATATGAATTATTGCTCCACCCCTCATTTCCGCGATGCACGGGGAGGGCGAGAGGAGTGAAATGATGGGGCCACTTTTTTCACAGCTTCCGGGACAAATTGACAAATTGGTTATCCGTACCTGGTACGTAGTAAGTATGAGGGTGAATATCGTTTGGAATTGCGATGAATGTCGTTTACTAACTTCAAGTATGTAGCCAAGATAGCCAATCATTGAGTGACATCGAGCTACTGTACAGTACTACTGAGTATCAAGGGCTATCAACGTTCAGCATCATCCAAAGCCTGGATGGACTCCATGGAGTATCTGCGGATCACACAAATTAGTATGGGGCGGGTCCCACGTGTCTTGTCCACCTTGCAAATCAGGTCGAGAAACCACTTCCGGCAAGGAGTATGGGTCGAGTCGAATCCCCCCTCCAATCCTCTCCCGTCTCGGGAAAGGAAACCCGCTAACTTATCGATAGTAGCTTTGTCGTGCCGTGGGACATCCTCGTCTTCGGAATGATGCTTGTTTCATTTTGCTTGAAGAATGAGGGGCCGATTGAAGTTTGAATACAGTCGTCGGCTCGCGCATGAGACACACACTGCGCGTGGCCAACCAATTCTACTCTCCGTCGGCTGCTGGTTCGTTTAAATGTCAGAAGTTCATTATCCAGGTCGGTCTCGGCACCAACATGCAAAATCGACTACGGAGTACTGTTTGAATTATCTATACTGTCGAGAAGTGATACTTTTCTCATCGCCGAAGCACGGGTAGACCTCCGTACAGTACAGGTTCTAAGCATGCTCGAGAACTGAAACCGTCGCCAAACATTACCAGAACCGGTTATCTTGCATTGATGCCGTGATTTTGGGTAAGTGTGCGTCAATTCCATGCACATATACGATAAACCCCTTTACCTTGCCAGTTGCTAAGTGAGCATGGCAACAAGTAGAGTTCCTATATTGCATCACTTGGTCTCTCCATTCTTGCACTACCGATTGATATTATAAACACGAGACTCTCCGTTCTCATTTGCGCCGCGCAGATTCTAGTCCCAACGTCGTCCGTCTGCCCGGTCCTGTTGCTAATATTAATCCTCCCATGTGGACAGTGGGCAGGGTGGTCTGAGTCAAGCGATATGGTTCCTGGCCGATCCCAATAAAAAGCTGTCAAGAATAGTATCATTCAAATTTAAACAGTCAGGTTCACATAATTGACCAGCTATACTTGCTCTGTATTATAGCAAGTGTTTACTTGGCAAGGGCATTCTGACTGTCATTACTAGTCGCTTCTAGGCTCGAAGTCACTGTGTCAATTGATGTTCTACGCACCAGATAGCTGCATCTCGCTGCTATATTGAAGAGCCCGGTTAACCTGTTCAACTTGGGATAGTATGCTATCGCATAGTCTTTCTCGATTTGCAATTGACAGGCAAGAGCTGCATTCTAGAAGTAGTAAAGTATGCCACACCCACAAAAGCGTGCTACCCAGAGCAGGTTTGATTATGAAATTCATCATCGTCAGTCAATGATTCATTTACATACTCCTCAATTCACATCTCCTGCAGAGGACATGGCAATCGATCGTGGAGGAGAAAGTAAAGTCTCGGAACTACTACCAAATATAATAGCAATACAACGGACAGTAACGGTCTGACAAAGCTTCATTGCCATCACAAGCATCCTAGCCAGTTCCCATAGAACATAGAATACTTCAATGCAGTAGCATAGCTATCTCACCCAGAACGAGAATAAGCTGTACCAACACGGAAGGCGGTGATGTAGCATGTCTCCCATCCCAAGGCGGTCAACCATCGATAAAACCGATTTTTTGCATTTTTCTCTCCGCCGCGACAAGAGCCATCGCAATAGCAAATCCTCCCTAACAAATTTTTGATTCCTTGCGACCGTTGGTCCTGACCACTTCTTCTCGCTACTAGGGCTTCCTGTGTGATAGTTCTTGACGTCTGGTGCAACCTCCCACTCCCCACGCGCACAACCCACTTTCTATACCCCGCTTCACCTCCACCAGAAAGTGAGAGAGGTATGTCTATAAACTCATCAGACCTTTAAAGCAGCGCAACCCAGAACAACCTCCCATTCCTGCCAACGACTTGATATCTAACAATCCCTCTAGTAATAGACTCCTCAGCTTCACCCAAACGTCCACCAGTCTCAATCCCATCCCACCCTCGAAATCCAAATGCCCGGCTCCATCGACCAAGAAAACGACCAGTCCATGATGGACGCCGCCCCGGAGCAACAGCACGAGCAGGAAGCCGTCCTCGAATTGGAAGATAAGCGCATTGTCGTCGTACGTCCCACCTCCACCTTTTCTCTCCAGCCGCTCGTACCATACAACCCAAATATCTAACAGTTCCTGTGAAGTTACCCGGAGCCACCGAAACCGCCGCATCATTCCAGTTCGATGGAGAGGGACACACCCTGGGTAATGCGCTACGATACGCGATCATGAAGAAGTGAGGATAACCCTAATCACCCATCCAATCCTGGATCCGTCCCTGGATATCTTCCTTGAACCCTCGGATCCGAGGGACTGAAGGAAATGTAAAATGGATGGGGTTCGGCTAACATGTGAAACAGCCCCCAAGTTGAATTCTGCGGTTATACCATCCCCCACCCCTCAGAGACGAAGATGAACCTGAGAATCCAGACTTATGGTACGCATTCTTCCCCCCCCCCCCCGGCCCTCGGCGCCTCTTATCCCGCCCACCCAAGGATCAGGACAAACCGCAACTGGAGAAAAACTGACAGATGATCCAGATACGACAACGGCCGTCGAAGCTCTGGAGAAGGGTCTGGATACTCTGATGGACTTGTGCGATGTCGTCACGGACAAGTTCACTGTTGCGCGCGATGAGTTCAATGCGTCCAAGGTCGATCGGATGGAGTCGTAGATCTGTCCTTTTGTTGTTTTCCTTGTAAATCTTTTGGGATTAGTTGGTCTTTCATCTTGGCGTTGTATTTAGAGAAAAGTTTCCACGATTTCGGTTGCCATAATCACCCAAACATTTTCTACATGATCGAGCTTTTTCCTGTGTATGTGTGTGTGTGTGTGTGTGTATGTGTGCATTGAGCGGTGTGTTTTCTGGGTTGGAAGGGAGATAGTACCTATTTTACTAGGAGTGCATTGGTTCGGAGTACTTGAGGTTAAGTGACTGCGCATGAATAGTATAAACTAATTGATGTGGATTGAGCTTGCTGTCTATTCTGGTCATGCGGTGTCTGGGCTGGACAACATGTGGTAATGCATGGTGCAGACAGATGGTATATAGCTTATTGGTTGACCTTCTTGGTATACGTCTTTTCTCTCACGCTTGTACTTGTAGAAGTTGACCGATACAGAGTCAAATATGTGGTAGTAGGTAACATGGCATGCATGGGAGAGCTATATTACTACCCCCTAAGCTCTGGATCTTTACGTCATGTGAAGAGCACCTCCACTGCTTACCCCGGACAAGACACACACAGACCGACCCTACACCTCGTGATACACGAGTCCATTGCTTAATCTAACAACAACACCATATTTACATAGAGCGCGAGCGCACACTCATACCCTCTACCCGGATCTATCAGTTCACGGGTCTAAGCCCAGGGTTGTTCTCATAACTAGAAGGAATAAAAAAACTTTCAATGCTGCGGGATGATTTGAAGAAAATGGGAAACATGAGATTAATTGCGGCCTTCCAAGAAGCCGGAGATGAAGTTTGGGGGGAGGCGAGCACCGGGCTCCTCCTCCGGCCGGAAGTACTTCATCACGTGCGACAGCTGCTTCCAGTAGTTGAGGGTTTCCTGTATGATGAAGACCAAGATTAGTTGGTCTGGTTACTGGTATATGTGATGCGACGTGCTGGAAGTCGTGGAGGTTTCGGTGGCTGGGTATATCGCATGGAATCGATGAGCCATTCAAGCTCTTCGACCCCAAACATCCCCAACCCACATATTCTATCGCATTGACCACATAGAGAAGACAACAACAAAAAATCCAAACTCACCTGGAACTCGGCGTGGCTCTGGTACAACAGCACGTCGATCACATTCAATTGGCTGACGTAACGGTGCTTCTCGAACTCCTGGCGAATCTTCGTCCGGATGGCGGAAACGGGCATGTCCAGGGAGTACATAGTCTGGATCTCGGGGGACTAATCGAAGACATCACATCATGTCCATAGTCAGCTCGGGGAGTCTCTCTCGGGTATGGTTTCGAGGTGAAGTTTCTCGTCTCGCGGTCCCCGCGGGCTCTTCTGCGCGCCCTGGCGAAAGAGCCCCCTCCCTCCAACCAAAGGTGACAGGGGACAACGACAACAAAAAAACCAGCAATTCCGAAATGCATCAAATATTCCAAGAGTGTCGAAGACTAACCGCTCTAAGCCATTCTCTGTAGGACCGGATGACACGACGCTTCGCCTCGGCCAGGTTGGCAGCTATACACGGGTTTTTCGAGGTCAGCCTGTGAGTTCCGGCCATTGACGTCGCGCCAATTTCTAAGGGCGCCGGACCACCGGTGGATCGGAGGGGGTGTGTGGAAGGATGGTTGTGAGGAATTGGGATGTTCACGTACAGGAACGAGTGCGCTGGGCGAGGAATGTGGGGTTGATGGTCATCTTGACAGTTGGGAATTGAGGCAATTGATGGCACAGCCTTGGACTCCGAGGTTTGGCGAAGAGTTAGAGAAGAGTGGGTAAGTTTCTCTGTTCTGCTCGGGACGGACGCCTTGGGAGTTTAGCGTTGACGGGATTGGGAGGAGATCGAATGGGGGTCTGGTCTGGAGGTTGCGGCCCTTCCCCCACCTCACCGCCTGCCTCTTCAAAAATTATTCTTTTTTTGGGGGGGAGCGCAAAGCTTGGGGGACAGAGGGTATTGTTTTCTGATCTTAATTCATTTGGATTGTGTTAGAATTCTCCAAATTCCGATCGTTTGTGTCTGGGTTAAAGAGATATACGCAGGTGGTTCCCAGGAATCTGTCTCTCTATTGACTTTGTGGACTTAGAAGTTCTCATCGCCCGCATTTTTTTTCTTCGAATTTTCAACTCTTCAGCATACCCACCCGCTTCTCATCTTTTTCTTCTACCTCCTAAAACAAGAACAAGACCACAAGATGGCCCCGACAAAGTCCTCGGCCAAGGGCAAGGGCCCTTCGTCGTCCAAGGGAGACGCCAAGAGCAAGCCTCTCTCGTCCGCGACAAAAGTGAGCAAGAAGAACGTCAAGCGCCCGCCGCCCAAGGAAGTCAAGTCGAAAGCGCGCACGGAATCCAGCCTGCTGAAGAAGACGAAGAAGAGGGAATACAGTGAGAAGGAACTGGACCTGCCTCAGTTGAACATGATCACGCCCGTGGGTGTGGTGAAGCCCAAGGGCAAGAAGAAGGGCAAAACTTTCGTGGACGATGCGGTATGTGATTGCTAACCACATATGGAGATTTGTGATGGGTGGGGGCTTGGGCTGGGACCTTTTGCTGATCATATTTGCTTTCTGCAGGAGGGAATGATGACGATTCTTGCCATGGTCAATGCCGACAGGGAGGGTCAGATTGAGTCGAAGCTGATGAAGGCCCGTCAATTGGAGGAGATCCGTGAGGCGAAGAGGAAGGAGGCTGAGGCCAGGCACGCGGAGAAAAAGAACAAGCTGGTACGTATCTTGCAAATCATTCCAATGTGTGTTTGTTTTTGGAAGTCACTGACAAAGGATGCGGGGAACAGGAAGAGGTAAAACAATCGATTCGCAATAAGAAGCACAAGGGCGGCCCTAAAGCCGACAAAGCGGACTCCGTACCCGACAAGCCATCCAAATCGAAGGGCAAGAGAAAGAGCGTCTCATTTGCTTGATTTTGTTTCATTTTGTATAAAAGTAATGCTGTCTATATCAGGTCTATGTATCTAGATGGGTCTCTGGCGTTTTAACGGTCTATATCCTGCCAAAACAATTGCATGCATTTCATGATGAACAATTCCCCAGCTTCTGAAGTATGCGACGCTCCAGATCCGCTAGAAGTACTCGCACATGATGCGTCTCTAGGGTGAAGAGGGTACGATCTTGATATCCAGCTTGCGCCGCACAGGGCCGAAAAGCGGCTTGGGCGTCTTATCGCTGTCTTGCGCAGGTCGCGCAATGTAAGGCGGGAGGCGATCGGGGTGCTCAACCTTGCCTGGAATGGTGTGATCCACTTCCTTGGCCATGAGGTTAAGGAAATTGGAAACCTTTAATAGTCAATAGGCCGTAACAACAAAAGGCAAGGCGAACAACGTACCGGTTTGACAAACCACCTGTCACCACCAAACTCAAACCAGCCGAGATGGCCTCCCCAGGAGGTGGTCGCCATGACACCATACGGGGTTCTGACGATTTCTCCATATGGCAGAGCCTTTGCGCAAGCAATCTACTCGGCCGTCAGACATCAAAGCGGTTCGAAAGTTAAGGGTGCTGCTGCTTACCGGGTCATCTTCGGCCTGGATTACGAAGAAAGGAATCTTGATGCCAAGCATAGAGTCGATGGAAGAGGCATCACGATAGTAAGCACCCTCCGTAGGGTAGCCCCATGCAGGGCATTGCAGCGCTCTAAAAGTATGGCGTCAGCACTTAATGCAAGTCTGCACAGGACAGTCCATTACCGGTCGAATTCGTGCAAATAAGTGACGTTCCTGATTTCTTCGACGTTGACCAGTGGATTTAGCGCGACCGACTCCACATGCCTGGCATCGTTAGTTAGTATGATAGCTAACAGACGAGCTGAGGTCTTATCACATACTGCTCGAAAAGCTTCTTCATGCTCGATCCCATAACCTTACTGTATACCTGAAGTCCCAGCCAGCTGCTCTTCAAGTATTCCGAGCTGACCTCCAAATTCCAGGGGCTAGCACAAAGCACCGCTGCTTTCAACTGGCACGCATCCCCCTCTTCGCCCAGGTACTATAACCGATGCATTAGTCGCTGATCCCAGATAAAGCACGTGCTCAGAACTCACGTTAGTGAGGATGTTTGCGCCCAAGGAAAAGCCGACTCCGAAAAGGGGCCGATTCGGGAACGTCTTCCGTAGCCATTTGACAGCCTGACGGACATCCCACGTGGCGCGGGCATTGTAGAGTATATTGGTGGTGATCTTGGTTTGCGAACAGCCCCGGGAATTGATAACGCACGCTTCCCACGATTTATCCTGGATCAGAGGCGCAACCACATGGCGCAGGTATACCTCATGTGATCCGCCGCTCAGGCCGTGCAGAACAACCAGCATAGGCTTGGTATCGTCCGATGGAAGCGCCGTGAATTCCTCTTCGGTAAAGAATGAGGTCCTCTCCGGTAGTCCCTCAGGCAGAGTATACTTTCTCTCTGGGTCAGAGGTCTGGTCATTCTTGGACGGCTCGTAGGGATCTACGACGAAATCCACGGCAAAATGCCCATCGAACATCTGGTTGTCCGCCTCGAACATCCATCTCTTGTAGTACACCGGAACGCTATCATACTTGACTGCAGTCCAAGCGGTCTGAAGGTGACCATTGAAGAGGAATGGATTGAGATCACAGGTTGCCGGTGTGGCTGTGCGACAGAGATCTGCCAGCGCTACCTGTTCCTTGGCACCAGACTTGCCATTTTTCCGGGTCAAGATGAGGTTATTGTCTTTGGCGCTGTAGAAGGAGACCCGACCACGTGGGCGAGCCCAGGAAAATAAGCCCATGGCTAGCAGACCCGAGAAAAGAAGAGGGATAGATAATGTGCTCAGGACGCTAATGGGAGAGATGTCAACAGGCGACATGACGGTAGAAGGGGCTAGACTCCGAGGCAGCGGCGAAACATGCGAAATGTAAACTGTAAACCAAGGGGAAGGGGAAGTTGTTCGTTTATCCAAGCCTGAACGATCGCTCTAAACACTGGTTCTAGAATTTCGATAACAAGAGAACTTGATATGATTTTGATTGCAAATCCTGTCCACTTGATAAATAACAGAGTCTTCTCCGAGTGAGGAAGTAGACTTTGCATTCCAGGCTGTCGTCACCTCACATGAATTTCTTCTTTTTCTTCAAGAGCCTCGGCTTGATTGCCAAAAGGGGCAACCTCACTAATCAATCATCTTATCAGTGGCCTTATCGTGCCGATCAGTCAGCTCGGTTGCTGACTCAGTGTGTCTAACCTGCTATAGTTAGTCAGTTTTAGTGGAGATCATGTGGAAAAGCAGGAAGACGTCATTTGGACAATATGCCCCCCCATCGGCTCTTCTACTCTCAGTCGCATTGCTTATCACTGCTTTTCTGTCATCCCCCCATCCCCCCATTCCCTGTGGGCTGTGCTACAATGAGCTGCTGTCCTGCTTCTCCTATTTTCAGAGATACAGCAGCATTCTCACAGGCAGGGTAAGGGTTTGAGGTGGTTTGGCACTTTTAAGCTTCTCGATCCGGTAAGCCAGCCCCGGATGCGGAAGTTTAGTATAGAGTTCGGTGGAATAGCATCATAGACTCTCCGCGCCTGGTCGCAGTTGGGTGGCTTTCCCACTCAGAAATCTACCATGATTTGGTTTCGGAACACCCCTCTGGTTCGATGCGGCCTTGGGTAGAGCTGTCCTCTTCCCCCTGCGCCGACACAGGATCTTGTCGCATGGAAGCTTGATTGTTTCTTCCACTGTGACCCTGGCGCGTGCTCCGTTTGCGTGCGAATCGACAGCCTTGCGTGTGAACTACTTCAAGGTCAAGAGGCCCTCCTTCTTGTGTCTCTCTCTGGTTTCGATTCCTTTCGTCATGGGGTCCGCTTGATACTATATCTTTTACTTCCAGTACATCATGATGCCCGTGAGCCAGCAGAAAACAGGCTCGCTCTTTCTTCACCGATGAGCTTTTGTAGGATTTCGACAGAGAATCAAACCAGAAGAAATAAGCGCCTCAGCTGGGAACCATTCAACAAATCATTCCTGGCCGCGGCAACCCATGATTTAGGGCCCAGTGTCCCGCTCGATATGGCATATAGCTTACGTCGCGCTGCCGAAAAAGTGAAGATCATCGCCAAAATGAAACGGTGGACGCGGAGTCAAACCGCAGGAAAGGGTAGGGGTTTCGATTCTAGCGGGCGATGCTTCCTTCTCGAACTACCAACCGAACTACTATTGGCGATCATTTCCCATCTATCGGTAATACCCGAGGCTTGCCTAGCGCTGACATGCAAGCGACTCTACTCAATATCCGGGGCGATCCTGGGAGCCAAAGCTCTCCACTTCAATCGCGACTTCGCACCACTTTTTCACCACTACCGGAATGGTCACAATTTCGTCACCCCGCGGTGGCAGTTCATCAATCTGCTGGAAGACGGCCGCTGGCGGGCCTGCTCGAAATGCTTGAAACTACATCTACGAAGCTCGTTCCCTCCTCGCGAGCTGAAACGGAAGTCCGATGAGCGAGCATGCAACTTGGGTAACTCTGCGGGCATCGTGGATTTATGCCCATGCAAGAAGCTCACCTTCCAGGACAAGACGAATCTCGTACAGCTTCTGAAGACCCGACAGAGATCAGTGGACGCCCTTACCCTGCAGTTCGGGAGCGGCATTCAGCAGCAGCGCTTTTGCTGGCACTCCTGCAAGGAAAATTATGGATCCACGCAGCTTGAGATTGCGATCTATCCCGAGCTGGACCAAGACGACTTGTTGAGGATACATACAGAGTATCATATGACAACAGGGACTGGCCAGCTTGGCAGAGAAGAACACATTACACCTCGCTTTGGATGTGCTCACCGATCAGTCGACTTGTGGCTATCCAGTGTCTGTCAGACCACCATCTGTCGTCTCTATGACAGCCACTGTGCCTCGTGCAAGCGGATATCAGTCTGCAACACATGCAACGCCTCTTTGAGGTGTCCTCGCAAACAGCCCTGTCGGATAGATGAGGCGACGGACAAAGCCACCTACCATTTCTGGACCGAAAGGTGCCTTGGAGGCACAAGTTCGGTTCCCGATCAGGCATGGGCTTCCCAGCGAATACACCCCGCGGAGAATCTGTTTGATGCTACCAATTGCAGTGAGATGTGTCCTTGGACTATTCGAGAACATCCTCCTCTGGAAGAAGCCCCGACTTTGGGGATGAACATACTTGAGCCTGCGATGCAAGACCAGTCGCTCAACCAATTATACTCTTCAATCAACATGATATAGAAATTTGGCGAATGCGCTCCCTAGAATGAATGGCGCTGGGCGTGGTTCGGGGGTATATTTGAATATGTCCACAGTCAATCCTGTGTGGTGTTGTGGTTTTTTTATTTCATTTTTTTTTTTTTTTCCAAAGGGTTGCGTGAGTTGGGCTTGGGTAGGAGGAGTAGGGCTGCTATACTTACTATATATCTTCCTTTGGGCTCTATGCAAACTTGTCCGCAGTTATATGTTCATGTAAACAGCCGAAAATGAATTGTCAGTATTGATGAACTTAGTACATCTGTAGAGCAGAGAATGTTTTATAGTTATAGGAATACTGGGACTAAATTCCCAAGGGGTCACGGCATCCCTCCCTCACCTGACCAGCCTGACTGATCGGACCGCGTGGGGAGGTTTCTCCGAACCCGACGCGGAAACGGAAATGGCCGCGCGATTGTTCAAGAAGACCAGGACCGCAAGCAGTGACCGCGCAAAAAGAATCCCAACTTCCAGTGCCCCTCAGCACAGCCTACTTACAATCGGGATTAGCAGAGCGCAGTGGATAAATGAGCATCTTCTGCGTCCTGGGGCGATGAGCTACCCACCACCCCACAACGGCCAATATCCTTCGCAATACATGCAACACCCCCCCAATCTCCCGCTCCACCACCAGCAGACCATCCACCCGCAGCAGCTCCTTTACGATAACAATGTCAACACGACTGCTTCGCCATATCAATATGGCAAACAGATTGTCTACCCTCAGGTCATGATCCCGGCCTATTCTACCTACACTCAACCCTACTCTCCGCAGCAACCACAGCAGCAGCAACCACAGCAACAGTCACAGCAGCAGCAACCTCCCCAACAGCAGCAGCAACCTCCCCAACAGCAGCAGCAACCACAATATGTGAATCCCTCCGAGCTGTTCCAACCGCCCCCTCTGCCGGCTACCTCACCTCCTCGATTCTCACACACTTCGTCCCAGTACAACGCGACACCTGCAGTCACTGCCACTGACAGCATACATTCCCCTATACCTTCCATATCGACCCCTGCTCAGCCTGCCTACTATGCCGATCCAAGCCCCGACCTAGGGAATCAGGCCTCCTACAACAAGAATGCCCAAGCCACGTCGAATCCGGCAGCGGTCTCAGCACCATCCGTGTCAGCACCCTCTGTGTCGGTACCACCCGTATCAGCACCACCTGTTCCAGCATCACCTGTGATCGCCGCGCCCGTTGCTGCTACCCCCATCGCTGCTAAAGTGGCTGCGACTAAGTCCGTGTCTGCAACCCCATCGGCTCCATCCCCAAAGCCCGTCCAGGTGCTCATTCCCGCACCTTCACCAGATGTGCAGCAGAAGCTGCAGCGACAGTCCTCCAAAAATCCCACCCTCAAACAAACACCGCAGCAGCCGATGAAATCCTCCACACAGAAATCGACCAAGACCCCCGACTACCAGCTGTTGCTGTTGGCTATGGCGGATGAGTATCTCGACGCGGCGCACAGCCATGGGACCATGGTGGCCTTGCTAAGACGGGAGATGGACATGGAAGAGTACTATAAACTGGTGGCAACAGGTCTCGGATGCTTAGAGGCGGTATTGAAGGTACGAGAGATAGCTTGGGTCATACTTGTTCTCTATGGTCGTTAACCTGATTTAGAACTGGAGACTTCAACCTCGAGTCGAGGCTCTTGTGCGGTTGCGCTATGCGCGGATTCTGTTCGAGGAAACAGACAATGATCTCGAGGCTGAGACAGCTTTGAGCAAAGGCGTATGTATTAATTCTCTGTCCCCACTTCTTTAGTGCCATGGCTAAGGTCTGTTCCAGATTGATTTGTGTGAGCGCGTAGGTAAATCCGAGCAGATGATGAATGATTCAAGCTTACACCGGACTAGAACCGCATGTTAGACCTGAAGTATAGTATGCAGCATCTCTTGGCTCGGATGCTACACAAGACGAACCCGAAGGCCTCGATGAAAGCCGTCGATGGCATGATACAAGATGTCGAAGCGTGAGTTTCTCAAATCGCGAACGTGAGGGATTCTTACTAACATCAGCAGTTATCGCCATTCGGCCTGGGAATATGCCTTTCGCTTCCTTCGCGCATCGCTCTCACTCTCTTCTCACGCCCATCAAGATTCTGTCTCAGCACTACAACACCTCCATAAAATAGCCAGCATGGCCCATCGCAATGGTGACAAGGCCGTTTCAGCTGTGTCTGCTATAATAGAAGCCCTCGCACATTTGCAGCAAGGCACCGGGTCCGACGCGATCGAGCAGGCTCAACGCGCAGTGGCGGCAGCACGAAGCCATCAGTTGAACGATGATCTTCGTCACATTCCGCAGCTGACGACGCTGATCCAGATTGTCGACATATGCTGTAGTCTTTTGGACTACGACGTCAACCAATCGTCTCAGAAGCTGAAAGTCATGCAAGACATGATGGACCAGCGATTGAATGACTCAAACTGGCGCGATGACGGGTCCTTTTCCATCCCTCTGAGTGGCAAGTCGGCTGGTCCTTCTTCCATTGACACCGGAGATATTCTCCAGGTACAGAGCGGCACACTATTGTTGAGCTTCAATTGGCTCCCGCAGCACGACCTGTATGCACTCTGCTATTTCCTCAGCTCCATC